GCGGTTTACCCGGTGTCTACAAACTAAGCTGTGTCTGCGGCAGTAGTTACATTGGGGAAACTAAGCGACATGTCTCGGACCGTGTTCGTGAACATGAGGCAGATCTGAAACTAGGTAGGACCAATACCTCGGCCGTGGCTGATCATTGTTCCAATGTGGTGGGCTCACACGAAATTAATTTCTCTAAGACGAAGGTACTTTGCAAGCCCACTGGCTATCAACAAAGATTCGTTCATGAAGCCATCTATATATATAGACACAGACACATTTTCAACCAAGAAGATGGGTACAAACTGAGCAATCATTGGAAGTACGTTATCAACCAGTTGAAGTCATAATTGGCTATGATGTTCCCATCCTACCACATTCCGATGTCAGTTGTCCTTTACGCCCATTTCAAACTTACACTTTCACAGTCAATTCGTGCGTCGACCCCTTGGTTGCGGCGCTGCAATCTTCATTAACATGCTAATCTCTCTTTAACATGCTAACTTTCACCTGGCAGCCCTTTAATTGGTGGAAAACTAACCACCGTCGGGTTGGCTGTCCACCACGTACATTATCATTGGCTGCTGACATTTGGGCTTTGCCCATTTCAAACCCTTATAAACAGTTTGCCTTGGACGCTAACCCCCCTTTTCTTGCGATCGAAACGTCGTAGTTTTTTGTTATTTTCTTTGAACCTATCTACGTGATTTTACCAAAAGACCCAAGAATATTCTTGAAAATGAGTATTACAAGTCACGTGATCGCCTCTACAGTACAGTAGTCGCATACCTTTCCAACAGTGGGCGGAGTTTGATTGATGTTGATTGGCGTGGCACTGCTGCTGTCCACTTAGAGGGCCTCATCTTCTGCACGGGGAGCAGGCAAGAGTCATCACTGAGCATGTGCATCGACCGGTGTTGATAGTCATCGTTATAAATTGAAATAGTTACAATCAAAATTGTAGTTATGCTTCATTTTGAGTGGTTCATCCGATAATTTATTTCGTGAGTTTTAATTGAGGAAACTGTCCGATGGCAGAGAAATGTAAGCGTTTTTTTACTTTAAATCAGAAACTAGATACTATATGTAATTTTCAAACATGTTTAAGTAAGTGTGTTTAGTATGGACTTTTGTATTAAAAACAAAATCAATAAAAAAAATACTGCAAATTTTTTGTTCATTAACAAACTAAATTTTCTTCACTTAAATATAATTTATACCTACTGCAGTGATTTTTGGCACAGATCCTCAGAAATTTAAAATTTTTGGATTATCCGTCATTAGCGTGGATAATCAAGTGTACTGTATTTATATGGATGCATGGTATTGAATATGTACAGTATGTATGCATATGTGCACACCACTATAAACGCAGTGGCGTGGGTTTGATTCCTGAACAAGATGCATATTTAGCAAGCGTGTTATCTAAGCCTTTCAAGTATCATCTGAGCCTGCAAAGTTCCCATTAAAAATACTCTTAAGGTCTACCAAGTCTGTTGTACGACACATGTAAATACAGAATGTGGGGTTCCATTATATTAACTTAATTGCTGGTACTTGTGCAATTTTCAGAATACAATAACGCAACAGAAGCCATACAAAAGACAGTGCTGTAATTCATGAACATTTGCTGATGTGGCAAATTAAGTGGCAGAGAACTTCACCTTGCGAAATAACAAGCTTCCACCCCATATATATGTATTATTACATTTCCTGTGGGAATATATGCATGTAATATTGTTGCCATATTTCATGACATCCAATTAAACCGTCAAGAATTTTAGAAATTGCACGTTAACATTTTGCAAAATCACTCTTATTACACACGTTCTATTACTTAATTTTGCAATTATGTATCATGACTCTTACCGTAAATATACATTTATAAAGCAGCTTGTGTGCCTCAAGATATTCCCAAGGCTGATATGACATTAAAAACGGTCTTGTTATATCTTGTTTGACCACTCATGAATAGCTGGAGCCAAAACACTTATGTTGTCTTACCCTACAAGCTGCACCAATATTTGAACAGCTGGTAGTCGAGTTGCCCCTCAATACTCGACTCATCACATCCTACAAAGACTGCAGTGACTATTTTAGCCACTTCACTTAAACACCTCGCCCCCTTAAGCTGAAGTTGAGTACGACTCTGCTCCGACTCTCGTCGCATTCTAATAGCTCTGGAGACAAGTGGCGGCGAGTGGTTTCCTAAAGTGCTGTACCATACCAATTCTCACGGACTCTGAAATTGTGAGAATTGGTACTCTCACCGTGGTGACACACCGAGTCGCATGTCACTGGCTATGCTCCAGAGATATGTTCTTGTGAAAAGCTCGTAACAACAAAACTATATTAACGTTGTGCATCTTCATCGCCATAATCTTGAAATTATGTAATTCTAGATAATTAAGGGACATATTAACGCGTTGAATTTCGCGACCTATATTATCCTCAAAAGTTTTTTTTGGGTGAGATCGCGTGAAAATACATGTATTCTTTAACCTGCCACCACCGGACACAGCCTATTAGTAAGGTTTGTCATGTAAACAAAACATGTCAATTAGTTACGAGTTCAGCACACCGGTGTAAATGTGGGTTTCCTCTCCAACATATAGATTTACGCGATCAAACCCAAAAAAACCTATATTATCAATAGAGGGACATTTTCTTTACCTTTTATAGAAAGCCAGAAGAGGACCACGACCATGATTCCACCCAAACCAAACCTCCCACTTCCATTTTATCAATGCAATGGTGTTTACTCGAGAGCAAGACCTGCCTGTGTTAGGCTTTCACCAACAATGTGCACCACTAATGATAAACCCACATTCCGGCCTATGCACCGAGAATAACTCATAATTGGGGTTGTCAATGTCACGCCATGATGGTATTTCATATTAACCACATGGCACATAAACTGTATAATATGTTACATGTGTAGGGTTTTTATAAGTACTGTACACTACAATACAATTTTGGATTTAACAGTACACACCAATTGTGTTTACAACTTCAGTACATAATATACTGCATTAACTTACCTACAGCAATTTACTATGACCTGAATGTCCTTCAAGCCATGTATTCCTCAATTAGACAGTAACTCAATTGTAACGATGCAATTATTTCATAATAAGTAACACCATCAATTCTGATTTAAAGGGTGTCAAAAAGTAAATAGTAATTTCCCCATGCCTTCCGCACACAAATTACCAAACACAGGAACTTGCAGTAGTGTGTATTTTTTTAAGAAATGCAATTTAATTACAAAACAAGCCAACCCATCAATAAAGCACAGATATCAGATGCAATGCAATACTGCAGTCAGAACAAAGTCATACAGTAGAGCAATGTAATGCCTTTGCTTCAACTTCAGGATTCATAAACCGGTCAGAAATACAGATACAAAATATAGGCCAATACAACATTTATAACCATTCCAACACAGTACTTACCAAAGCAAGTATAACCCACCCTCTAAAACAGCCAATACTGCATTACATTTCATAATACGCACTTACAAGGTATACAACTCCCAAAAATGGAGCAGCGTGAGCGGTTGTCTTGATATTCATTGGCTTTCAAAAACACCAGATACGAGAGAACCCCTCCTGTAGCAGCCTCTGTACGAGAGATACAATACTTTGTTGCAGTGGGACCACCACAAATGACCATATGTAATGGATACTCGCAATGTGTATTGTATATAAGAATCACTTGTAAGGGTAGGGGTCACAAAACTGGATGTTATAACAGCCATGTGTTGGCTTAGGGTTGTATCGGAGCACGCCAAGCTGTTAATAATGAGCCTATTTCTCCCATTAGGATGAAGGGATATGTCAATTGTAATTGCAAAGAGCACGGAAACAATGTGCCTTCAAATAATTATCCACCGGTCGGTCCAGTTTTTTTTTACATTACGATTCAATTACAGTTGTAACCACGATTTCCCACCAATTGTAATCCATTAAGTGGCTTTCATGTGGGACGTACAGGGTGCTTTGATTGATGCCGATTCATCAATTTACACAGGCTATTATTTACACATTTTAATTTCGCATGTAATTACAGCAACACGTTGATCTTATTTTCCGTTGATATTTGAAACCCATTGGACCCACGCACGGGGTGTTTGTGTTTTGGCACCAACACTCGAGCTACTGCAGTGCACGTAACTGTGTGAACACAAAATGGCGTCTTTTCCCACACGATAAGTGAATTCCGTACATTTCAAATGGGAGCAGCATGCTCATAAAACCCCACAGCTGTTGGTGTACTATTTAAAGCACACGTTTGTTGACACCGATTCTGTACATGTGGCAACAATGGGTTCAAATACATGCGGCGTTATTTCACTGTTTAGGATTTCAATTACAAAATAAGTGGCATCGACGACAATGTGACCGCGCGACTGAAACAGCCAACACAGAATGTAGGCGATCCTGAGATGCGGACTTTGTAATTCATATGATTGCAAGGAATATCAGTTACCAATAACTGGATGACAGAACTTCAGTTTGTCTTACTCTGTATGTGATAGCCGAACGGCCTGTATACAGACGTTAACAAGAGTGGCCAGAGAGGTAAGACAACTACAATACACATGTCGCCAATGTTCAGTATTCATAATTAACTTACAAGTACAGTATCATGTACAATCACAATGGAGGATAACACCTACGGAGATTTAATTTAGTGAATGCTTTAACTTAATTCAGAAGAGTTCTCAATTGAAATGTTCGAAAAAAATGTGTAAGAACGAGAGGTGTGATATTATAGATGCAAATATAGATCCACTTGTGTTCTCCAGGTAGATTTGTTCACAATTTTATATATTCGACAAATTAAAGCCAAAGTTGTTCACATCATGCTTTATATACTGTTAATAGCTCAGTGTGCATGCAACCTTTGATTATACTTGACTCTAATTTGGTTGTGTTCACATAATATGGTGGCAAACATTTGTGTTTATAGCTGTTCGTGACAGGACAAAACAATTCCATAGTCGAGTGTCGTGTTTTGGGAATTGACTGGTTTAATGTAGCAGATGACATGAACCAATCCCATTAAAACCAGACGTGAAACCAACAAAATCTGAAAAATAACCATAATGTGAATGATTAAAGTCAATACTTATAAACACATATACTGTATCTTTAGTTTTTTTGGCTTTTTAATGCATTTCCTTAATGTGTTTTTTTGAAAGACAAAATATAATTATGAAAGGGGAAATATTGCTTTCATCCCTTTATTTATTTTGATAGCACTGTGTACCTAATTGATTATATTACACAACCGTGTCAAACCTTCTCTTCCATTGCCGTTGCCCTTTGATTTGATAACGCTCATGTGTGGGCACGCTCAGTAAAACTTTACATCATTCTCATCTGAGTGCTGGCTGTCAGTCTGGACCTTGCACAAACACGCTTTTTCGATAACATCAACATCCTTTACTCACTACTTCGGTTGCTTCCTTTGGAAGGTGCGGTGCAAGCAAACGCACCAGGTTGGTGTATTTTTTTGGGGGGAGGTAACATTGATCGAGCTCCGAGGCTCAAGTTGTTATACGAAGGAATGCCTCTTTGATCTTGTGAATGCCCCTGTCTCCGTGCAGAGGCTGGAAGTTTGTCGAGTTCTCCGATGCCAGAGCCTGGATGTCAGCGAGGCCAAAATAGACAATCCTTTCCCTGAGCCAAGCCTGCAGCTCATACTCATGCCGAAACGGATAAGGGCTCTCCTGAAGGATGCGAATCCCACTCACTGTCTCTGCAATTGATCTGCACACACAAAAAAAACACGGCACAAGCAATGCTGTCATAAATACGGTCAAATTCCGTTTCTGTGACCTAATTATATGTGAATTGTTTATTGGGGGTCAGCAAAATATGGTTCTTTCTTCCAAATATCTGGGGTCCAGACCACGGTTTAGCAGAATTAATCATCAGATTATTTTAATTATCCACGGTCAGGACCACGGATACATGGAGTTATTTGGAAAATTCTCCTAATATCTGGGGTTATCCGTGGTCAGGCCCTTTCACCAGTACTGCCTGGGCAGGGTTGCACCTTCACATGCTTTTCTAAAAATAACACTACAATCACCACGACATTTTTTTATGTAATTATGAAGTAATGACCACAGGGCAAGCTAATTAATCCCCACTTGCCTGATTTTGCTCCACTTGTACAGGCCGCTAGCCATGGTGAAGGCACCGATCTCCAGCTGCTGCACGTGCATGGCAAAGATGCGAGCGCAAGGAATTGTGGGGTTTTTCACGTGGCCCCCCTCCTCCATCAGACACATGCCATCGCGCTTGAGAAACATCTGACAAGAGAATAAAGAATATAATTAATTGGAGATATCATAACCACAGTGGGATTGCCGTGCGGTGCGTGTGTTTGATTAAAATAATTTTATACATCAGTAGAATATTCATGGATGCACTTTACACGTACAATAAATTAAATAGCACGAAATTTATATGAAATTAAGTGTCTACCTTGACATCATTCAGTTGGTTCATAATGTTTGCCACCTTTGGTGGAACGTGCTTCCATACCTGTAGGCACAACACATTACTTAGGAAATTGCTTAATTCACATGAGATAGTAAATTTTTAAATAAAGATAGGTCATGAATAGAATTAATAATGAAACCAGTTATCCCAAAGGATATATACACAACAAAATTAAATTGACTTTCAATAATGTTTTATTCAAGTTTCTTTACATAAGATATAGTTATATTATTTTGGTTATTACTAATCAGTATGTTTATACTGTGGTAGCTAGGCACCATGATTTCTAAAATCAATTCTTATCAATTTAAATGTAATTTACCATTGAACGGATATATTGCTTAATTAATGTATCTATAATGTGCAATTATACGGGGGCATCTATTAAATATGGGTTCTTATTCTAGTATTGAATTAATTAAAAACTTGTTAAAATATTCACATCTGCAAATTAAGGTTCTATTTGTCAAATGGAAACCAGAAGAATGGCATAGCCTATGTTAAAATGTCATTCGAAATTAATGACCAGACCTTTCAAGAATACATATGTGTATGTGTGCGTGTACAAAAAGGACATTTATTACATACTGGCAATTGTCTGACTATGATGTTCTCCATGCCTTGCAGTATCTGCATGCCAGTGGAAAAGTTTCGAATGTCACAGCAATGTTTGGCCACCCACAGCAGCTTGGAGAGCACTGCCAGCTGACTCTGCAAAACAAAATGAACCAACACAGTTCAGCACCCAGTGCCCAAACATTTAAATGCCAGAACAACGATGGTGGAATGCCAAGTCGGACCCTCGTCTGTCAGCCTGTGCTACGTGATCCGAGAAATGTGCTCATCACAGAGAGTGGCTGCTCGTGGAGTTATGCCAATGTTCTCCACATGTTGCTCATTTACACGCACCGCGTGGGGTAAAATAAAAAGGCATTTTCTAAAAATCCATCAAACCATGGCTTTATAATATTTGACACAAACACCTGGATTGTAGGAAATGAGAATGGAAAAATTTTTTACAACTTTGAAGAAGATAGCCTTGAGGTTCAGTTTGAGCACTTCCCGGATAAATAAAGACATTGTAATGCCATTGCACAGGAACCTCACCAACGCAAATTCCCTTCTTACTTTCTTCACCAATAATGGATTTCCTCACCAATTACATCCTAGTTGTGTAGGGGACAGGGTAACCTTTCATCATTGCCTCTGCATGCTTGGATGCTATGCGCGAGTAGGAATATATAAGCCTCCATCCGGCGTGTGCGTATATATTTCATGGAAGGAACCTCAAGGGACATAGCATGTGCGAACCAGGTGTGAGACGTTCATTGTGAAGTGCGTCGCGTTTTAATAGCATCTTGTCCAGGGACATTGAAAGCACAGTGGTGCATGTGTAGTGATGTTAAATGGATCACTACGGCGCGTAGCGCCAAGTGCCGTAGAAATGGGGACAGAGGCTAACACACCGTGCAGTACCATCCAGTGGGCCACTAGGGGCATGGTACTCGGTGCGAGCAGAGGGAAGCCTGATGAGTCCTACTGACAGAGTAGGGGATAACAGCCTCCGCCAACGCCGCAGGTAATCATCACAGAGTCGGTCACTGGGGGAGTGTGGTGGGGGCGGCTGGCAGTTGGGGGGGGGGGGCATGTGAGGCCCAGTCACCCCGGCACCGGGTTAAGCACGTGCGTGATGGTCCGGGGTGAGGAATGTGGGCCAAGGGTGAACGAGGGGACACGGGAAGAGTAGCTGAGAAACCTCTGGAGCGTTCACGAAGGGGGCGTGATTAAGGGCGGAGCCAGAGAGGGAACAGGTGCGGTGTCGCCTGGAACTGTCGGGAATATTCCAGAGGTAGGCGGGGCTGAGGGTGGAGCCAGGCTGCGCCGGGAAGGATAAAAGGAGAGCTCCGATCACATATCGAGGCTGTCTGCAGGTGAAGAGGAACTCAAGCGCTCCGGCTTCGACATCGTGGGTCAGACAGCACGTTGGCTGCTCTGACCCGGTTATAGTTATCCCGTATGCGAGAGGAATAGGTGTCTTATGGTCCCGTGTGTAACAACAGTGAGAGATAGGTGTATTTAGTCCCGTGTCTAATGGTGTTACGTAAATGTAGGATAAACGTTGTTGCCTCCAAAATAGTGCCTCTGAATGACTCACTACACATGCGTTGCAGTCACAATTACCGTAGTGTTAAGCCTCTTGTCTCTTGCTGGTAAACAAATGTTTTTAGATTTATGTATGTATTTTTTAAATGGCTAAATAATATAATGTCATGATCTATATCTCACAGTTCCGAAGAATTCAGGCCCTAGTGGAAATCACAAATAGTGTTGATCTCAGCTACTGGTGGTGCGGGAACTATGTGTACATGTTTTAGCACAATGCACTATCAACCCGCAATTTGAGTTTGATTTCCGGCCATGGGTAACATCAACGGTGAGTTATAGCTGAACTGTTTCTGGGCTCCCACTCCCCACAGCTTTACCAACTTGTACCAATCAGCCTGACAAAGTCGGGACAAACAGCGCCCACGAGTGATACAGACCGTGGAGGCCTTCAGCAGCGGAATGGACAAAGCACTGTTAATTATTTATTTTCCAATGCCCTTACTGAAGTTGCTTCAGGAAACATTTGTACAAATTTCACAGCTATATAAAGACAGACGTTTTTACACACATTTATATGACAATTAACAATATATGTGTTTGCTATATTTTTATGATATATTTAAGGGGGTTTAGAAAATATAGCATTGGCGGCAATGAGCTACATGGTTGTATGATGTACAGATTTGTTGAAATATTCATGTAAGTACATTCTTGGCACTCAATTACCAACGCTGCATACAAAACTACATAGTTATCATAATGTAACACATAAGAGACTGAACATAAGAAAACACCAATCCCTCAGAAACAAATATCAAAAGATAACAGTTGCCTACTGGGCATTTGCGACGTGTAAAAAACAATGTGCACATTTTCACATGCAAGTACGTGTGTTTTTTTCACGCGTTGAGTAAAACTAAATGAGCCCAGTAACACTCAAGGGTGATCCGCAAAGGCCGGAAACAGCCATTACCTTGGCACCATCGCAGGTGACAATCTCAGCAGAGATCCACGTGCTGACTGTGTCGGAGTGCTCGATGAGACGAGTGATGGGATGATCGTTTGCGCACTCCGGCACGAACAGACTTGGTGGGTTTGTGGAGGCAGGCTCTGCCGTGGGTCTGAAAAACACGAACACGCAAAAGCGGAGGGATTCAGCCCCGTAGCGTTCGGAGGCCCTGGGTGGAAGATATAACAATTCAATTGCCCGATTAAAAAACGTGGAGGTTTCACGGCGATCTGCTGCTCTACTGCCGATGCAATGATCTGGCTCAACCATCTCAATGTAAAATTATATTTATTACTCTACACCAACATAACCTCTATAAAGAAGGGGGGCTGGAGGGAGCTGAGCACCCCCCCTCCGCTTCTGTAAGCTCAACCACCCTCTCCTCCTCCTTATTAATTAATATACTGAAGTCAAAGATGACTGCGTTCTACATATTGTAATTACTTCACGCACACACTGCCTAATCGGCTTAGGTAACCTTATTTTGATTTGCAAGCTTCATTTGATATTAAAGGTCTGGACAAATCGGAAACATTTGTGCAAATAAGCGATGGGCCCATCGTAGCCTTTCCTAATATGCGCAAGGGATTGAGAGCTTCGTGTATTATAGCCTTTAACACATTCTTTAACGTTCATTTAACAGTGACTGTCATGACCCCCCTTAATTTTTTGTATGCCCGCCCCCGCCACTCTAAATGTGGTTGGAGGAATTATCAACAATGTTGGAAAACAGTGACTTCTGACAGAGGAAATGTTGTTAAGGATTGGGAGTCATTGAATTAAGAATAAGGGCTACAACTTGTACTGTAATTTATGATTTGAATTAGATTTCATTTTAAGGCGAACACACCGCTCAGTCTCACTTGCTGTACAAGACACACACCTGACACAGATCCCAATTTCTCCCACACTGTTAGAGATAACTGCTGCTCGTGATCGCTTATTATGACCCGAATGGCTCAGGTGTGGGATATAGTGACAGAATGATGGCCAGGTGCCATCATCTCTCAAGTGCTGGTGTTAACATACTGCGAAACCAATTCAATTTTGGCCAAGTAAACCCAGGGGAGGCCCAGCATGGTCATAGATACCACTTTCCCGTGATATTTTGCCAGTTGAAGATGAAGCCTGGCTGACAGGGGTTCAAGCATATTCGATAAGCACATAGACAAATACATTCAAGACACATTCAAGACTGGAGGTATACAAACTAACCCATCATAAAGGAATGCAGAGACCACAGTCTCAATGAGTGCAATGAGAGCTATGATAATAATAATAATTTATGTGGGCGTTATGGTTCGGGTCATCAACCAGGGTTAGGAATGTTTAAAATAATCCTGCTGAGCTAGCACATGTGTTCTCTCACCCAATTGAAAAGGTTTACATATAGCAACACCATAAAATCTGTGATTTACTGCAGCCTGTTGTCGTTCTTTATGACGTTATTCTCCACCGTAAGCTAGCACATGCTGTAACTCACACTAACAAGTCTAGAGGTGGTCGTAATTATTTGGTCATCCACTGATGAAAACATTACCATGTGAGCCACACTGCATTTGCAGTGTCGCTCACATGGTAATGCATTTGCAGTGTCCGGAGACTTCTCCTCCGTGGTTATTTGGCCATTGTAAAGCCACTTATAGTAGAAAATGTACATATTCCTAACGTATAAAATAAATAGATTTACAGCCCTATGTCAATCCATTGCTGGATAAAGGCCTTCCGATTCAATGTCGGTTCATGGGGATTGTGCTGAGCATAGTTCACCATGCTAGTCAGTGTGGATTGATGAAGTGAAGGCCCAGGACTGGGTCATATATTACTCGACACTGATTTTAGCCACGACCAAGCATAGATCTCAGGTTGCTGGGTTCATAGCACAGTGCACTGACCACTGTGCCACCTCTTCCCCTTCTGTATACATAATGTGGTCCTCCCAAAACATGTGGATGTATTAGATGCTATTTGGTCTATGCGTGTATACTATAATTACATTTCGTATTGATTAGAAGTGTTTCATAATTTATAAAATACTAATTTAGAATGATTTTTTTTATTTAATTTGTAGGGTGTTTAGAAGTTATAAATACTGATGAATGAGTGTCACATTGAATAATTAACCAATCTTAAACATCAACTTAAGTACTTTTACTATATGCTGTAAATAGCAATTCTCATAACCAGTTAAGAAGTTTGTGAAATAGCTATCTAGCCAATGGCAGAGCCAGGATTTTCAGGTAGGGGGGGCAACCCCTCCAGCAATGAAAAATTAAAAGAGTTGTTAGTAAGTAAGGACTTGTCCCTTGCTTTTTATTCGACGCGTGTGTGCCGATGGAGCAGCCATCGATCGAGGGTCGAATTCGAACCGTGTGTGATCGGCATCGCGCTCGCTGAAGGTGAATGCCTTCAGGGAAGTCGTGTACTGTATATGCAACTGTGCACAATTCTGTGAGTCACTTATAACTGCTTTGCTCCATTGGAACCTTATTTGCCAGTAAAAAATATGATAATTGGTTTTTTACCCTTTTATCTGGCAACAAAACTGACACATTTTTTACAAGGAGTCATGTTTGCATAGACCACAATACCTGCAGTCATAATGCAAACAAAAAACATAACTCTGATAATGTATGCACTGTCCTTGAAGTTGATTGGTCCACACCCGAGACAGCTTTTTGTTTGCATTATGACTGCAGGTATTGTGGTCTATGCAAACATGACTACTTGTAAAAAAAAAAAGGTGTCAGTTTTGTTGCCAGATAAAAGGGTAAAAAAACAATTATCAACTGCTTTGCTGTTACTTATTGCCAATTATGGACTCAGACTATTGTCCTATCATCTCATAGAGTCCCTGGCACGTAATAATAAGCTACACAGTGGTAGTGGGGGTCGCAAAATGCCAATTTATTACTAATAAACCCCAATGATCCGATCGAAATGAGGGATTTCTATCGGATCGTTGGGGGGTGCGTGCCACCCCACCCCCCCCCACTGGCTCCGCCAGTGTATCTAGCCATGTGTCATATTTTTTATTACCTTCATATGGATGTATAAAAAAATTTATTCAGCCAGAAATATGGAATTTGGGAATGTTGGATGCTCATATTGACGTGCAGTGGGACACGTTGGAAACAAGATGTTCTGACCTTAAAGGCCCTGTTTCTTTCAGCCCAAGAGCACGTGTGTTCATGAAGTCAACCGGGTGGCATTGGAGAAAGAGCTCCTGAACAAGAAGAGTGGGGACATTTGCAATGGATTATTGACATTAAAAATGTACCTTCAAAATACAGTGAACGTAAATAACAACAATTATGGCACGACTACTTGGAAGGCAATTTGTTCATAAAATATTAATAATTAAAAGCCCGTTGTCAATCCAATGCTTAATGAAGGCCTCCCCACACCATGCGGGTCATGAGGTTGTTTGACCATACTTCACCACACTGGTCAGTGCGGGTGGTGGAGGGTTACGACACATTTATCAATAACGCGATCTAACCCAAAAACCTTTATTATGAATAATATTGGTCGCGAAAGCCGACGTGTTAAACTGCTTAAGGGAAACGCAGGACCAGTTCAGATATCCCTCGCCACTGATGTTAGCCATGGTCAGGAATCGAACATAGGTCTCCAAGGTCATAAAGGAGTGCAGCAACCACCACATCATGGCTGCATCGCTGGTTCATGTGTACATAATATAAAACATTTCTTATCAGGGCCAAGTGAATTGAACATTTGGACACGTTTCATAATATAATCAACAGCTTCTGCAATGCACAAACAAGTACTGTAAAATAGGTGTATTAAATGTAGTCTGTTGTAACATTGCTGCTGGAGGGTAACGTGAATGTCAATTCTTTTACCATCGGATCTGTTTCAAAATAAATGACAAGTCTAATTTAATTGAGATGTTTTGATGTAATTATCTAAACCCATGTCTCCTTTGAAAAACATACATTTTATACATGTTTTGGATTACAAGTTACTGCAGTACAATATGTGATTCATGAATATTGGAAGACAATTTTAATTATTTGAATTTAAACCATAGCACTCTGCTTGAAATAATTTCCCGGCCATATTGTTTTTTAAAGTTGGTTTAGGTGGCCAGCTATCGCAAAGGTCAGAGCTTGAGTGTATGGGTTCAAATCTGGGCAAACATCTCTGATTAAACTGGCTTCTCAAATGCATTTAGTTACAGTTTGAGCCCCATCACCAAGCAGAGCACATAAAACAAACCCACCATATTAATTTTAAGTTATGAACCGTGGACTGCTCCTGCAGACGGGGTGGTGCACTGACAAGTTTGGTGAATTAGACAAAACTGTTTTTTTTCAGAAGTAATTTGCCTCCGTGTAAGAATATGCTTTATTCAAGCGAGGCTTGCCGAGGCCCGATACTGTTTTTGAGGTATGTGCTGCATTTGGATGTTTGCAACCAATTCCATTTTTAAAGGCTGTTTTTTTGCATGTGGGATAAAAGCAGAGCACTCGGATAAACCCCATGCATACAAGATAATAACACTCTAGGTAGGAAAAAACCCACTTGCTGAACTGACATGAACTTTGCCATTTAACCCTGGATAGTGATTCAGTATGATTGAAAAATGATGACGTTGCTATATTGACAATAAATTATTTGTAGTTTTTTAAAAATAAACCAATAGTTTTTTCATGCAGAATAATCTTTGGTTTCACCTGCTGCATCAAGGAGAGCTGCTGAGCCAGGCGCAGCGCTGTCACCTCGCGATGACTGAACAAGGTCTTGTCTGCTTCCACGACGCGGCACGTTGGGACGTAGAGCCATGGGTCAGCAGGGCCCCCCAGAGATTTACAACAACCCTTCCCCTTGTCCCTCTCCCATTCCCGCTCCTTCGCAATGGCCCTCTCCCTTTCAAGACCTCTCTCCCGCGTGCCTATCGATGGCGATCCACCGTCTGGCCTTCCGGCCCTTCTGCCCAGTGGAAGGCGTTTGAGGGGAGAACTCTGTGAAAATATATGTTTACATATATACATGAATAAGCAGACAGGGGTTCTCAACAGGATAAACACGAAGCTGACCACATTTTAAGCTGATACAAGTTAAAGTCTTGTAGAAATTTAAATGTGTTGGGTGAAGAAAATCATATCCTGTAACTTAAACATTGTGTTTATGATGATGATGATGATGGAGAATAAAAAGTGCAAACAAATGTGGGTTTTGTTCGGGTGGACCAGGGGACACTACCGGACATCTGTGACTACTGCACATCTGGGAAACAGAGCTTCATAGCTCATCAGGGTTTTGCAAGATAAATAAAGATTCTGTTTCTGCTTACACACTTATAGCATTCAGCCATCTCTGCTGACGGTCTGAATTCAAATCCAAGCTTCATCCACTCAAGATTACAATGCACTCTCAAGTGCAGTAATTTCAACAATAAACTCAACACCAGTTTAGACTAGAAGGGTCTTTTCAGCCGTGCGTGGCCTGTTGAAACAACCTCAGTTGGGATGCCTGATGTTATAAATAACAACACTTCATGAACAGTGAGACCTATTAAACCTGTGGTATACCTAATTTGTACAAAATATAGTATGCACTGCCATGCTGGATTGTATTCATAAACGGCATTTTCATGCACATTTAGGCAATCCATCTGCATTTGTATAAAATGCCAAGCACGTCCAAAATGTTGACTTTTGAGTCAAAATCAGGACAGGGTTTACCTGCTTAAAGAATTTAAGCAAATATATATGTTCAGAAGCACCATATAATATTATTTGTCATTTATGTCTCGACATAGTTTTGTAGTGTCAGGGGAATATTATATGATGCTATGCTGGCTCCATTAATTTATATAGTACATGCCTTCGTAAATTAATATGATCTGAGTGGCACAATTATGACATAGAGCAATTCATAATAAAAATTCCGCCCCCCAAAAAAAAAAATCCATGGAGCCAAATACACGTGTTAGCAAAAAATTGTGTTGACAACATTGGGTAGAAATAAATGTCCAAATGACTTTACAATCTGCCAACTGTTTATATCACTCCCAAAAAAAAAAAAATACGTGAAACATCATAAAATAATTTCTGCCAAAACATAAATCAGGCCACGTTTTTCTCAACTGAATAACTTCACCCCTTTACCTTTTTGCTTGCATCTTCCATGGGCTGCACTGGAATTCTGTCAGATTTGATGAACAGGGGCCCCTCATCCACGCCCACGGGTTCAGTGATCGGGGCCAGAGGGCCAACCGCACGATTCGGGCTTACCCCACTCTCGTGCAAGCGCAGCAAAGCCAGCAGCCGCTCTGCACGCTGCTCCTCTACCCAGAGCTGCCCCAGGTAGACGGAGGTGGATAGAGACAAACAAACAATTTACACACATACCGCAGATGCCAGTAAACATGGCGGGTGCCAAGGGACGCTGTGTGGGTAGTTGTTTTGATTAAAAGTATTGAGTTAACGATGCCCATTTCACCTAGATGATCGTATTAGGTGTGTTTAAGGGAAACGCGAAAACGCGTAATAGGTGGGGCCGCGAGAAGGCTACCATCTCCCAGGAGACACTTTCATTGGAGACCCAAACATTGCACCTCCTGGCTTTGATATTCTGGTATAACCATCAACCGCATCATCTCCTTCATCATCATGAATATAAAATTAAAGACGTGCTACCGTGCGAGTGTGGCCATGCAACCCAAACTATGGACCATATCATAAACCACTGCAGTCCGCGCTCCTTCAAAGGAGGAATAGCAAAACGACACAAACTCTCTCCTGAATCCCTCTCGAGGCCAGCAGACCACAGCAATGGCATTGAGAGCCTGAACACCATATTGTCACACGCAAGAATATAATAGAATGAAAACACTACACATATGCAGTGCCTCACAGATAATTACGATTAATTTGCACAATAGTTCCTCACTGAATCTCAAGACTCTTTTTCAGGAGGGTCCTGTTTTTAATCTGTGGCCAATTTTTCATTGAGTATTTTGCACTTTGGAGGAAATGTAAGTAGCTAAAAACATACATACATATTAATTCACAGCCCTTTGGCATTCTACCCCTGTCCATGCTGTGTTGGTAATGGTGTTGTTTGATCATAATTCACTGTGCTGGTCAATGGCGGTACCACTGTTTAAAAGCCATATCAAAGTCCTACAGCTCGGGTGCCTGGCACACGAGCTGATGAATGTGTAATCAACCAACACCACTTGGACAGCAATGGATTGCAGGCATGCACCATCGCAACGTTGATTAGACAAAGACTTTGTCTGTGTTGCAGCTTATAGGACATTGCAGCTAGCCAAAGGGAATGCCATTTTTATTTTTTTAAATGTTTCATTGTGTAAATGTGCAGTTGAGAGCATGCACTCATTCATTAATATTACAAGTAAAACGAGCTTACTTTTTTCTGGATGAAAGTCTTGAGAAGCTGCCTCATTTCAGGGTTGGGTTTGAAGTCGATGTTGTAACAGTCTCCCACCCAGAGACTAAGAATGTCCAGGCTCCGGATGCGTATGCTGGCGACCTCCCGAGGCTGATTGACTGCGCCGCTGGGAAAACATGAATTGGAGTTATGTCAAATGCATTTACATGGAATTAGTAGTTAATTGAATAGGCTGTATGAAATGGCTGAAGTAAAAGACCCACTGGCTAAAAGAGCCAATTGTTTTCGCAATTGTTTCGGTCTAATTACAGTTATCTCATCTATGCAACACTTCAGCCAAGTGTGCTCTGCATTATTAATCCTGTACAATCGTGGTCGAAAACATTTAAGTCGCAAGAAATAAACAAGTCGGTGGCACAAGATGGCATACAATCGTTTAAATAATAGTACTATGATATATTTAGTGTGCAAAATAGCCCCATCATGTAGAGATTTTGTCAAAAAATATCAAGAAATGTCCTTCCACCCATGCGTTAACCCGGTTAGATGGTGGTGCACATTTGTACGTAGAGCTACCAAGATTTTATGGATGCCATACACTATACTCATAATTATCGTAACTGTGCCATTATTTATCTCGAAAAAACTTCCTGAGCTTCAAGACCTTACTAAAGGGTCCTGCACTGGGATGTTTGGCCTATTCCTTTTTTTATGAGCGGTTTTCACGTGCAAAGAAACAAGCATAGCTAAAAAACAAGCATAGATGGGGATGACACTTAGAAGTGTGCACAGGTTGATCAATGACAATTGCTGTACTGCCATCTCTTGGCCACGTTACAGCGCAGTATCAGCAGCAACGTAAAATCTGCATTTCTTACCAACCCCGTCTTTAAAGTCAAGGATTACAGGCTGTGCCTACATATTGGGCAAAATCCATTCTAAAACTTCTTACTGAACAACGAATTCTGCAGGTCTGAGTGACACCTCCGATTAGCACGGTTGGCTACGTACGGTGCGAAAGAAGTTCAACATGCGTACGTACATATGTTAAAGGGACGGCCACTACAAACCCAGTTGAGGATACAAGTAACAACTGGCCGGTAGGGTAGTGCAAAAGATGGGATCTTATCGCAAGCCTGTCAGCCTGTCTGACGTGAGCTGAAAAATGTGCTAATCATGGAGAGTGACTGCTCGTGTATTTATGCCAATGTTCTCCACATGTTGCTCATTAACACGTGTTTGGGGCAGAAAAAAAAGCATTTCCTAAAAATGTATTCAACCATGGCTCTATAATATTTTACACGAAGACCTGGATCGCAGGAAATGAGACTGGAAAAAAAGTCTACAACTGAATCCCGGAGTGCTGAGAAGATTGAGTGGATATAACCATACAATTGTGATAACTTTGCATATCAAGAGTTGCATAATAGCAATAACCATGTGACAGCTAAATGTAATATAATTGTGCCTACGGGCAAGAGTATTGTGCACATGTGCTGCAGATTTAAGCAAATCCTATTGGCTGTAATAACATGTCTAGTCACATCACGTACAAATGTGTTCCAATCACGTGGCTCTCTAATCAAAAACATGCTCTACAGAGCCACATGCATTGCAAAAGCCACGTGAAGTGCAGGCTAATGTGTGTCACACATTCAATCCAGAAGCTGCTGTAAAGCAAACATTTACAATCATTTCAAGTGGACGTTTTTGTCAATTGCAGTTCTTTGGTAGGCATGTGGCCTTAACTTGCGTGCATGCTGGCAGCAGTGTTAGGGCGTGATGCTGTTACACACTTCAGCGATGACTATTGATCGAGCTGTGAAATTAGTGCCAGTCAACAGCTGGTGCTTATAGTTGATAGATGAGGTTATTTATCCTGTTATAATAATACCATTGAAAGCATCGAGCCACAATATTCCATTCCATACAAATCCTGCCTTCAAAGTTTAACCATGGGATGTGCATGATGTGCACTTGTACAACTTTGCCTGAATGGGGCAGTCAAACACTATTATGAAAGCAAACTATGCTATACTCTTTGGTTCTTTCGGTAAAGTCACGTAGGTATAAAATAAAATAAATCACGACGTTTCGGGCGCAACACAAGCGTCCATCATCAGGTGGGAAAGCATGCTTTATTTTATTTTATACCTACGTGACTTTACCGGAAGAACCAAAGAGTATGGATTCCTGCAGTTACGGTGTTTCGACATACACATGTATAATGGTAAGTAGTCACTTTCCAGTGCTCATATGTGGTTAATGTCTTTACAAAAGTAAATATATGTTTTTATTGTGGATCTACTCGGGTCCTCTGAAAAAGATAGACAAGAAACTATTCAACAAAATTAACAGAACATTATACAAATTATTGGTCGCAGAAGAAACTATCACACTCCTTGATTTTACTTGAACATTCCTATAATAATAATTAGAAGAAAGGTAATACAATTTCCAAAATCATATCTTGAGCAGTGTCCAATGTACTGTACTGTATTTTTTTGAAACATGAGAAATATAAATTTACATTTAAATATGGTGAAGTTAATCTCAGCAGCACAACTATTGTGATACATTTTTGAATAGCGTAATGTTAAACTCCAGTGTATAAAGAAAACCATACGTATTAAACAGGAAATTGCACTGCAACCACTGCCACTGTGGGTGGAACAATTAACTTCCTCGGCGATTCTGGGAATTGTAAAAGACTCAGGATCGAAATTATTTTTGCTTTACTTTGCCGTCAATAATAGTGCCCTCCGGTGGCTGCAGGAGTAACGTGAACCCATTACTTTCAAAATACATTAATCTCAACTCAAGCACTGTGATCAATGCTTTACACGCCTGATTTGATCCAGTTATCCTGAGCATGAGAATTGACATGAATACATGAAATTAATGCATCGTTCCATCCCTATCAGGCAGACAAAATATGCTTTTCGTGAATGAGAGCATTCTAAATGGATCTACATTGCAACAGACCTGCATGTGGCTTCCAGACGCTCCAACAGGAACTGTAGCAGGTGGCTGGGCACACAGAAGTAGCGGAAAGTGTACAAGAAGTGATGGATGAATCCGTCCACTGCAGCGAAGCTGTCAACAGTGCAAAGTGTGGGTCAATTAATCAATGTTCATTTGCATTCCAACTGGCAGTCATGTACTTTCTACATTGCTTGGAGAAAAACAATGAACCTCGCTTTGTCACTCGGTATAGAATGTGGCTCGAAAAAAAAGTACAGTATTTTTTCTTTGTGTGTATACGTGTGTGTACTTTGTTAGTGGGGAGTGGTGGCACAATGATTGCTGCTACAATCCTAAGAATGTGGAATCGATTCTTGACTTTGCAAATCATTGGGTGATTGATTCAAAAACAATGCCATAGGTAGTAGGTTTTTACCCTTTTAAACTGGTACAAAACTGACAGGGTAAAAACCTACTACTATATTTTGCCACTGGTAAAAGAGATCTCATAGTGTTAATGCCATAGGTCTCCTCTTGGCGAACTTCGTCTGAAATGAGTGTGAATGTCAGCACTTATGAAATAAACAAAAAGTCTTTGATCATGTTACTTGCCACCGGCCATATCTTGTTTACCGTTCTGAGGCACACGGATTCAAAAGCGAGGGTCCTCTGGCAGTGGGCAGTTCTATTGCTGGAATATGATCTACTGGGTTGTCAGAATGGATGTGTTGGAAGTCTGCTTTGTTTTTGTTGACCAATCCAACGTTTGGTATAGCACGGCGAAGGAAATCTGCCATAGTTCCATGATATCACAATATAAGACAAATTCCCCCATGTAGCCTTCACAGGCTGTTGGGGCAGGTTCTGCGAGTGGACACCTATTAAGGCCAGCATGGCACATGAGGGATGGTGTGGCCAGAAACACGCACAGCTAACCTTTGTCTTCCCAGTGCTGACTTTTACACACCGCACCAGGTACTCGTATAAGGCTGAGTCGGCCTAGAGGATGCGCAGGACTGGTTCAGATATTTGCCACCGATATTGGTCATGAGCGGGAATCAAATTTGTATCGTCAGGTTCGTAGCACAGCATTCTAACCACTACGCTACCACATCCCACACCTACACACTGCAGGCGTCTGGAACACATGCTGTCAGATACGCCTCTGCAGCCGTTTGGAACGTTCTTCCTTCCAATATTAGGAAGCCATTGGAGCTATCCACTTTTAGACCTAAATTGAAAATATTTTTTTTGAACTGCATTTTGTGTGGAGTTTATTGTCCTTCCCCTGCACATCCGATTAGCTCGGTTGGCTATGTGCGGTGCGAAAGCAGTTCAACATACATGCATGTGTGCGTATGCATGTGTGCTTGGTGGGACAGTCATCGAGTAACCAAACCATCGAACTAGTGATGAGGGTAACTCCATTGACAGCTGTGAGCCAGTGGTGGAAATTCCACATTACCTTGGCAGGCCACAAACTCTCCAAAGACCACCAGCAGAAATTAATTTGATTGACTACAGACAGATGATGAACATGATGATATGATATTATTGATGCTGATCATCTTGTTAATACAGTAAAGGACATGATTATTATGTTGTTGCTGTTGCAACTGCTGCCACGGATAATACAGGATGATAGAGCATGATGACGCTAAATTATTGCATGTGTCTGTGCATATGTGTTGCCTCTCTTTGTATGTGTGAATGTGCGGTTATGGACTTCACAAGACATTCGGTAGAGTTGAGTACTGCTTGTGACGCTGCAGTGGCTCCATCTCTGGGAAAGTCAGGAAAGCAAGCGTATGCAGGACTGTCTTCTGTTGTCTCACGCCACCACGTGGTAGCAGAGTGGATGTGGAGGATAGTTGGCAGCTAACAATAAACCAACCTCTTTGGTTCTTTCGGTAGAGTCACGTAGGTACCGAAAGAACCAAAGAGAATGGATCCCTGCAGTCACGAAAACGTCAAATCTAGAATAAACCAACCCCAGATATTGAAATGTCACGAATTGAGGCTCAGAATACAGGAATTTTGGCTTGTTTTTACTGCATCACATCCACTGATTCGTTTGTCCCACTAGCTTAATTGAACAGTATACAATGTACATAGAAATTACCTGAATTGTAAATTGTATATTTCCTCAAGGTTTACATGTGCATTGTGCCGGTGAGAATCAAAGTAAAATTCATGAATCGATGCAAGGCCCCTGCTAGAGGGAGCTCCAAGAGGGTATTGGGCCTACTATTCCATGATAAAGGTGCTTGGCCTGAATTTCTGGTCAAACTAAACAAATTGTATTTATATTTTATGCACGTGTGTGTTTGAGAATAATTCGAAAAATATTTAAATACGGTACGTGAGATGTTGACTATTTTGTAAAATGTTGTCATAAAGATTCTATATGTATATACTAATTTAAGCATTTTTTAAACAACTTTTTTATATTAAAAAATCATGTACGATTTACGACATACATAGAATACTATTCAGTTATGTCAATAACATACCTATTAATATGGCAGGGAGAGTATTCTGTAAGAATAACAATCACCTCATTAGTTTTGGTGAAATGCAACATGCACTCAACACTCTAGAGCCTTCAAATTATCAAAGAACATTTTTTTTCATTTCTATAATTTTGTTAGAACTGGTTCAATAATGTGTTTTTTATTGCAATATTCATCTTCAATGTTTTTCAAGATGATTTAGTTACACGCAATTGTTTCTAGCGTGCCATCATTCTCATCCTGTCCTATTTATTGCATCTCACTCATGTCAATTCGTCTCATTAGGGGGCCTCAATTCCACCAGTGTGACCCTCAGGCATTCCCTGAAGTCTACAAGCAATGAGACTTCCTTTTCGCAAGCCGTGCAATAAAGGCCGCTTCCTCCATCTAGTTACAATGACATGTTTTGCTTGAGGCGAAATATTAAATGCGTAATGCAGTATTATAGTGCTGCAGTAAAAATATGTTTCAAATGCTGGCAGCAATATTCTTTGTTGTGGTTGAGCACAAAACTTACAACGCTCTCGATGAGGCCCGATGGTTTTATAATCTATAATACCATGTGTTGTGTACTTACTGTTTTGTTTTTTCATAAAAAAAGATACAGTATTCTCAATATACTTTTGTCAGGATATGGCTTTTAAATCAAACTCTTGTGTAGCATGGTGATATGAGCAATTGGCGATGTGATTGGCAGTGCAGAAAAATCCACTGTTGTGTTTGTGTTCTGTGCTCCTGTGTCTATGCTCTTACCCAGCATTGGATTAAAATATGCATAGCCATACTCTTTGGTTCTTTCGGTAAAGTCACGTAGGTAGAAAAATAATAGATCACGACGTTTCGATAGCAACACAAGCAATCGTTATCAGGTGGGACAACCACAGCAAGAAAAAACTGCTGTGGTTGTCCCACCTGATGATGATTGCTTGTGTTGCGATAGAAACGTCGTGATCTATTATTTTTCTACCTACGTGACTTTACCGAAAGAACCATAGATTAATGATTCCTGCAGTCACGAAAGCTTCAAATCAAGATACGCATAACCACTCCAGACAATTTAAATACCTGTAATTCTCCGCTTTTTACAGTATTACGAGTTAACTCTTTTTTTCCCACTGATATGAATATCTAAATATTTTTTTTGTAACGAGGCAACTCTACCGTCAGTAGTACCTGGAGTAGAGGTAGCACATGAGGGCGTGTGGCGTCCCGGCCTGCAACGTAGGACGAGAGGCCGCCTGGCTTGCATGCGCCGGCTGGAATACAAGCTCCGGGCTAGGGGGAGCCGGTTGCAGGCACAGCGGTGCAGGGGCTCGCCAGCCCAGGAAGGCCCTCAGCAGAGAGATCTCCAGGCCCCATTCGTCGGCGAACAGCAACTGCAGAGGTTTGGCACGGGGTGCGGTGATACGGCTCGTCATGTTAATGTGCGAGCCACCTGCTCGCCTTGCTGTGTCAACTACGACTCGTTGTCACGATGTACGTTCATCTATAACGACGCGACCTCTTCGTGTGATGCATGATAAATGCGGCGACTCCTATAATGTCGTTACATTCGTTACCTGTACGTGCTCTCGTTGTATTATATATTTTTAAAAAATGCACTCACTGCCTACGGGACACTGTATTCATTTAGAAATAAACGCTTGTGACCGTGCATCAACAGTTATTACAAAAGCTTAACACATTCGTCAATAACACTGAGCTAAAAGGAAATATATTGTATATAATAGGTGATGTTTAGGGTAATTTGATCTCTGGAAAGAATGGCTATTGCCAAACATGTTGCCTCATATATATTCCTTTCAGGGCAGTGTTTTTGATGAACAATTCGAATGTTTGTATTCGTTTAACAATTTAAGGCATTTCCCTTCAGACTATAACACAATTTATTAAGACCAATTGGCCAATATTGTTTCGTTTTTACTCTTAACAAAACATAATATTAAATTGCATCTATGTAAGAATGCACAAGTGTATGTATCGTAATCTGCAATCTATTTTTACCCAAAAAAACAGAACTGTGGCTTAAGGATATATATATATATTTTTTAAGAAATAACATTTCGAGAGCAACTCGTTTTTAAGTAAATAAAAACATATTTTTGGGTAATTAATAAAATACGGTATTAATGCAGATGTAGATCAAGGGTCAGTCATAATATCCAGAAGTCCTATTTTAAATGTAAATTGTACGTTAAAATTTAAATTGTTTTTCTTTTACACTTTACTTTTTGCACAGACTTCAAACTTTCTCTCTGCTCGGCTGCGACTGATTTATGGATCGTACCTCAATGTATCTTTTTGTGGTTTGCAGGAATTCAATCTTCTCTCTCATTTCTTTTACTTGCTCTTTTAACTTCGAAAGCACACCTTTCGTTTCTGCGCATAAATCAACAAGAGAGGGATGCTCAGAGTAGCTGTTTCAACAGTCTTAACATTTCACAACGTGGCTGGGTGGTTCATGCACCATTACCTACGTACTGAGTTAGCACAGCTTCAATCATGGGCTCGTATAATTTTTAAAAGCATGGTGGATGAGCAAAACGCCTAAAACACCAAGAGACCTGTAACAAACAGCACTATTTAAAATATAATAGACAAGAGTTATCATATTCTAAGGATTATGACGCACATCTCCTCTATTTATTTTAAAGCAAAAGTTGATTGTGTGTATACACGTGTGACCATATTTATATAGCTTTAATGACACCAGGCACATGTTCGGAGTGCATCTGACTTTCTGTAACATCAAATACTACAGAGAATATGGTAACGTATTTCCTGTAATTGAGCAAGGTTGTTAGAATGTCGTATAATACATGAAGGGAATTCCAAAGTTGAACAGTGTGAGGAAGGAAGCAGAGAAAGAAGTGATTTTAGCTGGAGTAGGGTGGATAGTATGGATGAGATAAAAAAAACAGTCTGGAAGACCAAGTGAAAGTTGAAAGAGTAAAATGTATAAGTTTGTGGGAACTGGAACCGTTGTCTGATGCTATATTTAATATGAAACAAGGTTCCCATGGTAAGAAAGTAGGAGTTCTATGGTTAGTCACAAAATAACTACAAATAAGAAGGTGAAAATCCTGTAAACTTGGTATTGTATTACCTAAATCCCTTAAATAGCCACCTTAAAAATGGATGACCAACATGCAGCAACCACTTTCCACCGAGGCAGGAAGGAAAGGCTGATTAATATTGTACAATGCCTCCTGAAGTGATTTAGTATGCTTTCAATAAATCCAGAATTGGTTTCATTTTTCCAGAACTATTAGATGACTTGGAAGTTAAATTTAATGCAATGCTGACATGAGGGTGCCTGGTGATCAAAAAAAAAGATGGAAATGTTTTATTGTTTTTGTTCATAAGTACAGCCAGTTCAAAGGTACATACCCATTCGCTGACTACTGATTGCTGCAACTTGGATAATTCATAGCAAGCTCATATCTCCCCACATTTCACCCAAAAGGGCAGAATAAATTATATACATTTTCTTAAACTCACTTAAATATTACCCAGTGCACCATTCACCCTTTTCCATTTTGCTTTCAGACTGAATTTAATTTCTATATAAAAATAGCACGTACGTATTTCATCAAACAGGCCATTTGATACACATTCCGGAAAAGCTGTTATGGCCCTTGCCATTATTGATCAGTGCATGATTACTTTTGTCATCGCACTGAACATTAAAATGAAAACAATAGGGAAGGCATGTGGGGATAGATTTTGGTATCATTTAAAAGCATTGGGATATTAGATATGATGTAGGATGTCATCAAAATCTGCTCCTTGCAAACTTGTTGATACTGAAGATAGCCTGATTGCCACATGTCTATCGTATCGTGTTAATCATCATCAATTCTCAATGACCATCATTGGTGCCACGTGCAACATATCCTGAATGTTAGCATCCAAGTTCTGTAAACGTTAAGGAAAAATACACAATTTACTATTTCAACAAAAATATAAACATGTAAAATATGCAAAGGAAGTAATAAAAAAACTGGTCAGATATAATGAACACCATGAAATACGTACTTGACAATATTGGTCTTGGTATACAATGTATGACAGCAATATGACCTTGTCAAGCATACAATGTGCTATACAAAGACATACTAAATGTATAAACACAACAATACATGCAAATACATGATATGTTACATAACGGTACATAAAACATGTGCGTGCCTGGTTTCGTGCTAAAACCTGAGCTTGGAATTGACGTTGAGTTTGAGCAGAGATGCTAATTCTCTAGTTTTTTTTTTCTATAAGCCCACAATGCTGTCTTTATGCTTGCCGCACACCAGAATACTAAACTCGCTCTGTTTCTCAAAACACTTTGACCCAGTATGACCCTGTCTTCATGCCACTGAAAGGGTTAACAGTTATCAAGGGGCTTTTGTGAGGGAGAGAGCAGCCACCCACCTTTGCTGGCTTGACCTTGTTGGCTCAGCTTGTGAATCAGAGCTCTCGACTTTCTTAGATTCTTCCCTTCCAGCATAATCTGCTGATCCACCTCCTAGATACACACCACAACACAAATATTGTTAAAGCCGAGGAACGTAAAAGCCAAAGGTGCAGCCCTGCAATTACCTGTTCATGGCACTTGTTGGCAGAAGGGCCTCTACAAGAGGGTATTTTGTGTTATGCTGGCCAGACATTATTTGAAGAGATGGGAGTGCCCACAATTTACCCCACAACACGTGACCTGCCGATCGACTGCCGTGTAGCCATGTATACTGCCGGGTTAACAGAGGGAGGGGGCATTAAGAGATTTGCCCTTTGTTTAAACTGCCTTGCCGGGAGATCATATTGAAGTGATAACCTCTGGAATGCCAAGGCCAGTGTGCTAACCCTTACATCACGGCAACATCCAATTGTGAACTCTGTACTGTAATAAAGTATATGTTTCCCTGGGAAAGCCTTACTAAGTCCAGACTTATTTTAGAGTATTTAGAATTCGGGGGAAATATACTAGTATGCAGAGCAAACCCACAATCTCTACTATACAAGTAGACTTCTGGAACCTTTTTTATGCCCTGCCACATTGCCTAGCAGAAGAGAGTTGCATGTAGGTTCCATACTGTATATGCATGATATACAAAACCCCGCATTCAAAGTCATTGCAATGTAGGCATATACTACCACATGTTGCATATTTTGCGGCTTTTATGAAATAAAAGTGTGCATGTGCTGCTTCAATATATTTTATGATAGATGCCTAAAAGCAATTGTTTTGTCAATTAAAATGTTTTCAAACCATGCATTTTTATTTATTCGGGGCAAACAATATTGAAGGTAAGGCATTGGGAATGCAGTACATGCATTCTTTTCATCACTTGCACTATTTATAGTTTGACTTACATAACTGTGAGGACAAACATCACACAAACATATACAGCACTACAGCACTGTGACACTTTTCCATTAACGTGAACTTCACCTACAAAATACGACTGATGTAATTCACTTTTTTTCCCTGAGCAAAAGTTTATTGACATAAACATATAACAAATTTAAAAAAAATCAGAAAGCAAGCCACCATTCGTATACCCCTTATATTTGCAAAATGAAGTCATCCAGTATTTGATATGAAAGAATAAAACATTTTCTCAGCTTTAACGTGTCTGCAAGCCTGTGTCCATGCACTTGCATTTAGCTAAGTTACACAATAAACTTTCAACGATTCACGTAAACAGGTCATCTCCACACGACTATTTACAAAGGGGCCACGTTTCCACGCTGACCAACGTCCACCACACGTGACAATGCTCATGGAATAACTGTGCTGTATCCATTTACATTGCTGGGTGGACAGAAGATTTAAGAAACGTGCCCACTGCGATAAAACGTATAACACGAAAATATCTACAAAGTCTCATAACACGCATTGCATGCCTGGTTTCACACGCGACTCCCGCGCACCAGCCTCAGAGACATCGTACCTGCAGCTTGGATTCGAGGTTAATGTCGCTGCTACGTCGTGCCCTCTGCTGATGGACGCAATCTTTGACGTCGTTGCTGAAGAATCCCGCTCCGTACCTGAGGCTCTCCCAGGCCAGGAGAGGTTTCTTGAGCTGCTGAGACCCCTCGGGGCATCCCCGCATCTGCGCGAGACCACCCAGTGTGCCCTCCCCACCTGCTGCCATGGCCGCACGGCTCTGAGTTGGGCCCTCACTTGCAACCGATCCAGCCATGGAAGGGGCACTTTTTATTCTTCGGCTAATGGCTCTTCTCGGTGGAACCCTTGATCTCTCGCTTCTTACCGATTGGCTCAGTGTATTGCCACCTGCACGATCTTGTTGCTCTGTAGGTGCATGCAGCAATGCATACATCGCATTAAAAAAAGATAATTTGTGAAAAGTTATATGTAATAATTAGAAGACTCAATGTCATCATCCCATTGTGGCAGCACCCTCTGTGTGGCACAAGGTGAACGCAGCACCAACCCACATGGGAGCATTAGTCTGCCAGTAGGGGGCGATGTTGCTATTTGATTTTCCCAAATAAGGCATTTAAATAACGACAGCATGACAATCCCAAAATAAATTTCGATTTAAAGCTTTCGTGACTGCAGGGATTCATCTTCTTGGTTCTTTCGGTAAAGTCACGTAGAAGGGAAGTAATAAAATAATAAAAATAAAACATTATTATGTTTTACGTGACTTTACCGAAAGAACCAAGAAGATGAATCCCAAAATAACTACTCTGTTTTCAATTGTTTTACCTTTTACACAAACGTTGAATATTTTGTGATAGATTTTTTTAAAAATACAATTTTACTGTATCTAGAATGAATCGATACATATATATTCTTTGAAAGTTTAAACCATATGACAGTATATTACAAAGTTAGCTTTTTTGTTTAAGTAAGAATTGGGTCACAAAACAACATAAAGTAGCATGTGCTAAAGGGCAGAACAAAACGGTACGTTGCCAAAATACTCAGCAACACGAACAGAAGCATACATTCGTAAACTAAACATAAAATATCCGGAAAAACAGTAAATATACCAGATCTTACCCCAACCAACCTCTATGGATTTTTTTTTTACCAAGCCACGATGTAACACAATTTGTATCCGCTGTCAGTTGCAGACAACGGGGGCAACCCAGGAGAATGAGCGACCTCCCACGGAGCAAAGGTTGAATGGGAGCATTTGTTGCTAAGTGGTAATATAATTGTCGCCGTTTAATGGTCTCTATTTTTGGGTATAATTAAACAGTCAAATGAAAAAAAAATCCAAAAGAGAACGTTATACCTACATTTTCATTAGAACGTAGAAATGCACCATTTTAATTTGCATCGTTGTGACAGTTTAGGAAGTTTCTGTTCTATCTGCACCGTCTTGGCTAATATAATCGCTGCTCTTTATATAACCAGTTCAGAGCAAACTGCTTTGAAGAGTACATTTTCTAAGATAGACTACGATTACAAGATTCAAATCATTGTTTGTAAATTTTTATTGTAGTTAATGTCATTTAGATGTGCATTTGTGGTTAGTTCAGAAGACCTGAGTTCGATTCTCGGTTGCATCTGATATACGTGTCAAATTATACCGCAATGACCAGGGTGGTGAAGTATGATCAAACAATACTGACCATGTGACGTAGGGAAATCGTCATCCAGCAGTGAATTCACAAATGTCCTTTAATAAAAATGTATGCATTACTTCATCTATAAAATTTGATTGACCTTAACCATAGCACTAATAAATATTCACAACTGCCCCACACCCATTTGAGCATTTGAGTAGGAAGAATACCAGACTTTGTCATTAGATGAGGGACATTAGACAAGCATATAATGGCCAACTCTTGTAAATGATGATACCGGCTCATTACTGCCCCCTTCATTACAGACTAAGTGCATTAGCAATTCCCAACAGAACTTAACCGTGCAACAGTAGCAATTGAATCATTGACTCGGAGCAAAGTGGCCCCAAGTGGCAAGCTTGCCGATCATCAGTCTATCCGGTAGCCCCGATAATGCAGACTGGCAGTGCTGAGTGAAATGGCTCACCCCTGTCTGTGGAGGCACCGGCCTTGTGCAAGTCACGCAGGGGGCCTGTCTTGCGTTCTGTCTGCGGGGTCACCCTGGGCGAGGCTGTGGGATTGCCGGCTTGTGCGTCGGTCGGCTTCCTCACAGGTGTCACTTGGGCCAACACGTGATTGGATTTCCCTTTTAATGAGCACACGGCAACATACGTGGCAATTTTATTATGTAGGCTCCTGAACACGTGTCCAAAAAACTCAACGCGTTCGTCAATAACGCTGTGGCATTTTAAGATAAAATAAGTACGTATATATAACATGTGATGTTTTGGGGAAATAGGTGAGTGGGGCTATTGCCCGAAACGTCACCTATCATATATATTTTCTTATAAGGCAGTGCTACTGGCAAGCTTATTGGGTTTTTGTTATTTGCACCTGTGCACCACTGCCAATGTAGTTCCAGCAAATAACCTGGACATATGTGTGTGCAAACTGCATACACATACACAGTGTAGACGTGGCAAAGGTGCAGCATCGTAATTTCATACTCCCGCCACTGCCGGCGCGAGGGTCTGCACGAGAGGAAGCTTTAGGGAGCACCTCGTGAGGGTATTTCAGACATCTTGGAAGTGGTGGGATTACTCACACTTTACTCCACCACACGTGACATGTCGATCGACTGTGGTGTAGCCATTAACGTTACTGGGTTAAGAGGGGCAGAAGGGTTTAAGAAACTCGTCTATTGTTTTTGGTGCGTTGTCTTTGAGTTGTGCGCCTTTTGGCGTCATCTGGTCCAACACCATGTGAGACTAGGCTCTAAGAAAAGCTGTCCAGGGTGTGGACCAATCAATTTCAAGGACAGTGCATACATTATCAGAGTTGTCTTTTTGTTTGTATTTTGACCGCAAGTGTTGTGGTTAATGCAAACATGATGCCTTGTAAAAAGGTGTCAGTTTTGTTGCCAGTTAAAAGGGTAAAAACCTATTATTACTATACCTCGTCTATTGTTTCAACAGCCTCGCCGGGAGATCAAACCAGAGACCTCTGGATTGCAAGTCCTGTATCCCGAATATGGTGATTTTATTACATAGGCTACTAAATATACATTTATACAAGCTGCATAAATATATCTAGTGTATTTAGTAAGTTTAATTACTGGAGTAATGACTTTTGATAAGATTCGGTTTTTCTTTTTTGACGATTTTTTTTATTAACTTATATGAAGTGATATTGTATTAAATATAATTTGCAGCCCCTTGTAAATCCACTGTTTAATGATTTTTGTCATAAGGATGGTTTGCCCATACTTCTTGGCACTGGTCAGTGTGGGTTGGTGGAGTGGAGGTTCTAGAATCTGCCTGTCTCTCGTGTTAGCCACGGCCACAAAGTAAACTCGAGTCTCTGGATTCAGAGCATGGTGTGCTAACCAGTGTGTCACCACTCCGCCCATTAAGAGATATGTGGTGAAATTAGCAGACTTTCACAGTACAGTGTATACATGTGGAGGAGTAGTGGATGACGTCATGTCACCCTGGGGGAGATAATGGATGACGTCAGGTCACGCTGGGATATAAGCTGGGACCGGTGACATGATCGGGGTTGTCGTCAGTGGCCGGGAACGAGAGAGGTCGAGAGATGGGACCAGGGTAGGGGGAAATTAGCACCAGGCTAGGGCGACTACTTCACTCGGCCGACCGAGTTGGCAGATCCCTTGGTCGGTGCTGAGGGAAGAGCCCGAATAGCCTGGGTGGGTGCTAGGGACCTCCCAGTACCCTTTCCCTGGGGAGAAATATACCAGTTGTCCACTGTTCGACATAACCCCCTATTAAGTTCCTAGGCATAAGCCCCTATTAAGTTCCTAGGCATAAGCCCCTAATAAACCTTGGCATCAGCCCTTATCGAAGAGCTGTGTCAGCGTCGTCATTTGCACCACAACACATATATAAACAACATTGTACCTTCGGGTTCACTCAGCTGAGGGTGTTCCACCATTGGGTGACTTGCATCCTTACTCCGAATTGGCTGGTAGCTCACGGAGGAAGGCACGTAACGGCTTGGGAATGTTTCTCTCTCCACCATGCCCCTTATCACATTCTCGTCGTCTCTGCTATCATCACCATCAGCCTCATCGTCATCCAACGCATCTCCATCTTCACTGGAGGTTGCAGAGAGTGGCGCCGATAGTTGGACGTCGTCATGGGAGTCGCTGCTAAAATTGGAGAGACGCACACGTTTTAATTAGGCCCTCCAGTTAAGTCACGTGGTAGCAATTTACGAGGCCATGCACATTATCCACCTGGCGCCAATCCTGGGCAAAACTTCACAGCAGTTTACGCATCATTGGCATCTACTGCATCCCCACGAGAGGATTCTATGATATCTGTAAAGAGCCAACAGAGAAAACATCTGCTCTAAAATGTTCGCAAGCAATCAATTATTTAAAAAGGCATTTCATTGAGATGTTAGTCAACACACCCATCATCGTTATTGTCTATGATATAACATTCACTTCACAGGTATCAAGCGCACAGGCTAAGGAGCATGTTTGCGGATGTGAGAGCGCTTTGAAACAGTGATGGTTTTGAAAATTCATTACATATAAATCTGCTGTGAGAACGTTATATAAAATCAACACAGAAATATAAACGAGGGCAGCATAAATTGAGTTGTGCCATCATCAAAATGGTAATATGAAAAAATCAACCAGTAACAATTTTTGTGTGGATATTAGATGAAGTCATACACACTCATGGCATATAATATTGGTTGATAACCTTTAGAACTGAATGCTTTTGTGCTTGCTGTGACAAGCAACGAAAAAGCAATTCTCACTGAAAAGATAATGTATTGCAACAATGTGGTGGTACAAAGTAGAAGCGTTTCTTTAGATGGACATCTCTACAAACGGAGAAGATTGGCACCTATTGAGCACAGAAATTGCTGTTGGACACATGGATGCATCTTGGAGGACAGATATCTTGGAGGACTACCATGAAGATTATTTCAGATGTTTACGTATATTTTTGACTCTTTACAACAATATAATTGAATAAATACGAGTTTTGAACATTTAGTATTTGAACCAAGGATATACCAGAGGTGCTGTTTCACAGACGAGTATAGTATGCCAGTAAGGAGGAAGACGATGTCGTTATGTGGTATTACCAAATTAAGAAATTTGCGAGCAATTTCGCAAGAGTGCTACATTTAGATCATGGGTACACATGGCCTGATCAAACAGTATCACAGGCCCTGCGAACGATGCGACGCATATCAAAAGTCAACACCATTCACCAGGGCAACCACTGGCGGTGTGTATCAATAGTCAACACCATTCACCAGGGCGGCTACTGGGGCTGAACCGTGCACCTTTGCAACGAGCTGCAAAATTGCACTTCTACATTGCCTTTCATGTCAGGCAATGAAAAAGTATTCGCCTACCAGCTCTTGTTTTTAACAACGGTTACAATGTCCTTCTGAGGCTCACTTTATCACTTGTGTCACGTGCAATTACTCTCTTGTAAAAGCTGTCAAAAATATCCATGTTTTACAAACAGCTTGTTCAGTATGACATCGTTAAGTCCACACCGTAATATATGTACGAGCATGTGAATTGACTGGTAAAAGGGAATGTGATTTTAAGGGAACATTACGTGAACATTTAATCATCTTTGCTATCTAATCTAAAATGGCAAGAAAGGACATGATTGCCGCTTGTACTTTAATACAAAAGGGAGCATTAAACCAATGCAGTCATAACAGAGAATGTAAAATGTGAACTTCTTTTTTACAAGTTACAGTACTGTAACCTTTTTCTGACACCTCTGCACCGTTACGTCTTAATTATCCGTACCTGTCAGGAGTAGGAGGCGGCTGCCCGCTCACGGCCTCGTACAGGTTTTCCAAAAGTGTCTCATCCCAGTAAAGGTCGCTGAATTTCTCTGAAACTGCACTGCAGAAGGTCGGAAACTTGAGACCCTTCATCGACATGATGTACTCAGCTGTCAACACAGAACCGGCAGAAATGACAGGAAAAGTAAGCATCCCAGCATGCATTGCACACGTGAATCAATAATCGAGTTTAACAGGTTATAGGAATCTCAAGTAGGGGAAGACAATATAACGGTACATTGTACGATATTAGATCCATGATGATTGATTTGTTCGTTTTTTTAAATATTCCTTTTTCGTGATTATCGTCGTTCATTTTAATCTTAAGTATTTTATTTCCTTACAAAATACTCAGGAACTAACAAACTCGAGTAAAGTTGTAAATAATTTACTATTATCCATTACATTGTTGCGACATGTCTTTTGGAGTAACTGAGGACATGACATTTACTATACATCATTATTTCAGGAGTAATTTATTATTTTTGTGCAACTGACAGTGAGCACATTTTCTGAGTTACATATTGTGATGATTAGAATAACTTATTGAAAGCTTTTGTTTGTTGAACTGCAATTTAAGAACTATGAAGGATTATAGTAATATAATATGAAGGCTTACTTATATCTAATGGTATAATTATAGCAAGGCATAACAATAATATAATTTAAAAAATGTACAACTAGGTGATTGGAAAACTGATATCGCGATGATAGTCATATAAAAATATATATGGAATTATATTCCATCGTCAAAAATGATATCGCCACAGCCCTAGTCATGAGCTAGTGAGCATGGCTCACTCCATTGGAATTCAATTACATTTTAATAATTTAAGTAGTCAGCCTCATGAGATACAAAAACATTTATTACAAGGAACATTGGGATGATCATGAAAGGAAGACACTTTAACGAGATAATGGGAAATATTAAAGTTTGAATTTGGAATGAACTAAATTTGCACACACGCACACGAGTAAAATAAAATTCAAAGTTTCACCAAGTCCTCCCCATCTACACTAACACAACGACAAATGTTATAGCCATTAACAGACTGTTGGCGCAAATTCGATGCGTGAACACTCATCATGGCCAGCATGGAGCATGAGGGGTGTTATGGCCAGACCCATACCATGCTACCTTTGTATTCCTCGCGATATTTACACACCAGGTACTACTTTAAGGCTGAGGCGACCTAAGGGAGGCCCAGGACCAGTTCATAAATCACTCACCACTGATGTTAGCTGTTGCCAAGTTCAGAGTGCAGTGTGCTGAAAAATGCACTTCCATTCCCCATTACACAAATAAAATATAGTACTTTCCGCACCTCCAATTAGCACGGTGGGCTACATTCGGTGTGAAGTGCAACATAGATACATGTGCGCACGCATACAAAGAGATTATGTGGTCAGCACAATGCTTGGCCATCCTTTCTCTCCGTTGCTGGCGTTCACACATTGCACCGGTAATCATTTTTAGCTAGTTGCCTTGGAGGAGCCCCAGGCCACATTAAAGATTGCAAGGAGCAATGCTCGTGTGCAACGTAGGCAGGAATTGAGAGCCACCTGTATGGAACTGAAACAAAGTAACCAACTCGGTTGCACTATGACTCATTGTAGCCCCACACATTCTGTCAAATCATCGTTATAAATGTATATATATGTGTATGAGGAGTGGTGTGGCTAGCACAACAGTCGGCCACCAGGTATTAAAATAATGACAATAGGAAATCATATGTGAATTCAACATGTACAGCCACAGTGAAGGAACAGTGATTGACAGGCACACTCATTAAACACAGGCCTCAGCAACTCGGCAAAATAAGCAGGTGGCTAACAATTCTTCAATGGGGCAATTTCACACTTAAATGTTTCCTGTCCAATATATTACATGAGTGAGGCAACTTAGTTTTACCTGTACCCCTTGAACTATGGGCAAACTAAAATGTGTGCAATGGCTGGTATATGTATATGATAAAAGTCTTTATCAAATAATTGGAAAATGCTATTTGATAATTCCTATAAAACTTTTTTCACAGCTCACATTTGAACATTTCACAATTATAATCTAATTGTCTGCATTTTTGGCAGGACATATGTGTAGGTTTAAAGTTAGTACAGCGGCAGTGGAAGTGTTAAAACTATAAAGGTCACATTATGACTTGTGCGCTGAAGTCACGATCGGCAGGACGCACGTTCAAATCCCAGTCAGAAGATAACCGAGTCTATTGTCCCACTGACATGAACAAAATGAGTGCTACACTGTGGTAAGTAAGCAGACGACCCTTGGTCGTGGGAATGTAGAATTTCCATCACCGGCTCACGGCCACCAAGAGAGATGGGTACTGCCTCATTGCACGTTCACGTTTGAGAGGGGAGAATTTGACTTTGAGTTTCTATTCACAATTCTGAATGCTGCAGCCACATCACTGCATGCATGCGAAGAGTAAGAATGCATTATTGAGTTAAACAACACGTAAAAAAATTATGCAGTGGGCACCACGCTGATACTAGTTTCCTGAATACGCACACCATGAGGAGACACCTCAGGGTTCACTCACCCACAGCCAGATCCTCTACCCCATTCTCCATGTAGCCATCGAAGGCAAACTCCTCACGGATCAGAAGGTTAACTCTTCGCAGCGGGCCGCTAATGTCTGCCTCCGGTCCAGAGCACCACGGCGAGGCTTTCTGCAGGGAAGCTGGCGAGGACAGCGCTGACGACGGCAAACTAAGGCCCTCCGAGTTGACGGACGTCGGTGTGCCCTGCGACGACGAATTCGACACACCCCGGCTAATTATGTGGGGCGCTGTGAGCTCCAGGGGAGCACAAAACAGCGAGTCGGGCTTTCTTTCCACTTGAGTGTGCACGGAGATGGCGACTGCTGCCTGGTTGGAACTCTTTATGTCAATCTGCGCGGGCCATTTGAAGAGTACTGAAGGCACGCTATGAGCCGGATGCGACTGTGTTTGACTGGGCAGGATGACAGGAACGAGTGTGAAGAGCCCCGTGATTGGATCCTGTTGGAGCATAAAATTGGGCACTTGGGTGCCTGCGGCCAGGATCTGGTCCAAGCTGAAGCTGGCGTTCGAATTTGGGGACGAGGAATCCGTTGCGCTATCACTGGAGTCAGAGTGCAGCATCTTCTTGTTGCCGGAGGAGGCGTCCGCGCTTTGCTTTGTCGAATCAGGTGACCCGCTATCGGGCGAGACGGTGGCACTCAAGGTGTCACCTCGGCAATTTGCGTCTGCCGCAGCAGAGCCCAGCGAGTTCCCCGTGCCATCCTCTGCCTCGCCAGTGGCAATTCCCGATTGCCTCTTAGTGACTTCTTTGTTTACAGTGTTTATCGCCTGTTTATCTCCTGGGATTTTTGCAACACATCCTTCAGGGCTCCTGCAATACCAGATGTAAACGTGCATGAGTTAATTGCCGGTTTTTAATATGTTTTGCATATTACACAAAAGCTTTGCAGAATACTGCTATTTACACATAAGTACTTACAGTACTTTGATTATATGTGTAAACACATGTACAATTTAATTTTATAATTCTAAATAAAGTGGCTGAATAGTTGCCAAACTGTATACAGCCAGGCAAACCGTAAATTGTCCTGGAAGAAAAACATAGGCGTCGAGTAATTTCTACTGAAATTTGTCTTCATAATTACCTTAAAGAATTTCGATTTAAAGCTTTCGTGACCGCAGGGATTCATCTTCTTGGTTCTTTCGGTAAAGTCACGTAGAAGGGAAGTAATAAAATAATATTATCTAATATTAAGAAGATGAACCTTAAAGAATTCAAAATTTTCCTGATGACGACCGCTTATGCTGCGATCGAAACGTCGTAGTTTTTTGTTATTTTGTTATTCTCTGTGAACTTATCAACGTGACTTTACCGAAAGGCCCAAAGAATAATTATAATATTCTGCCAGTAGGGGGTGGTAATGCCGTTAACGATATTTCCAATTTCAGTCCCTCCAGAAAAACGCGGAGTTTTTTGGTGATTGTTGCGGGCAAAGATCGTTGATTATGCGGCACGTTTTCTTAAAAAATGCGATGGAATATGCGGGATATTTATGCAACTTTATGCGATTAAATTGCGGGAACTTGCAAAAATTGCGGGAACTTGCAAAAACTGCGGTTTGATGAAAAAGAGAAAAAAAAGTGATTCCCCCAACACCCTATTCACTAGGCTACTACTTTAATGTAAATAGTCATTTCTTATTACTTCCTATGATAAGCAAGCATACTACATCACAGAAAGTGCTGGGAATATTTAAGTTCTCATCTTGTTTTATTTCAGACCTTAACAAACAGATCGCTCAAACTTACAAAACATTGAGTCGAACAAGTTCTGTAGCTTTACAAAATGAATATGCTACAACTTCTGTAAAAATGAATAAATAAAATATTAAAAAATAAAATGTGTGCTTCCTGTTTTACAGAGGTAGCTATACAAAACAGACATCTTCTGTTAAAATAAGTGTTTTCAGTGCACAGTAACGTAAGCAATACAGTAACAGTACAGTCTTACAGTAATGTAAATTTACATACTACTAACAAAAAAGTGCAATCTTACAACTGTAATGAGTGACGTCACTTCATAACGTTCCCATGGCAACAGGGGAAATGGCTGCGCTTATGTGAAGTAAACGCAACATTTTTCAACTTTCTGCTAAGATATATGTGACTTTTTGCAACGAAAATGCGGGGATTATGAAATCATGCAAGCCCGCATATTTTGCGCGCGGAAATCTGCAATTTATGCGGCGAAAGTGCGGCGTATTTGAAAAAACGCGCCCCCCGCATAAATATGCGGACTTTGGCTGATTTTGCGTGGAATCTTGCGATCGCATAATCGCGTTTTTCTGGAGGGACTGCAATTTTGTCAATGTTGGTGCGAGCGACGTACAAAAACGGCTGTCTGTGATTCGCGCCGGGGCAGTTTGCTCACCTGGTCGCTTCGCGGCGGAGGACGATTGGCTTGAAGTGCGTGGCAGTGGACGTGAAGGCCGTGGGAAGCTTGCCAGGGCTACCCTCGTTGGGGACGGGACCCTTCACAGCCGTCAACCTCGCCTCGGCTGAGATCGGGACGAAGCCTTGGATGAGAAAACGCTGTGCTCAGCATCGGGGTAACTCAAACCAGCGTCGGCATTCAGCAGAGCAGCTTCCTCTATTACTGGTAGGAACTACATGATTCCACTTTTCCACAGGGGATTATTGTGTCCGTCCGTCCGTCGTGCATCCAAAAATGGGAAGGGTGGGGCTGGGTGGAGAGGGGAGGGTGGGGAGGGGCTGGGTGGGGAGGGGCTGGTCACCCCGTGGTGCCCTTATAAAACTCAACGTTTAACCTACTCACGCCTGCTTGTGCCCGCCCTCACAGTCGGGCATATTTGCGGAATACACTACGCCGCCGTTGACCCTGGCCATTGACCGAGCAACCCAACTTTCCTGCCAGCTCCCTCCGCAGGAATATGTTTAAAAGGGCTTCTCATTTTCGCCACGAATGGAAAAAAAAGCAGAATGGCAGAAATGTTGCTCTGTCGACATCTGCTTTTTGTTTACAAACAAAATAGTAGACATGATTTCTGATGACCTATTAGATGACAAGGCTGTCGATTTTGAATAAATTAATGGATTAAAACATATTTTTATAAAAGGTTGAAAACCCATAGGGAGAAATGTTTTGATATGCGTACCAATGCAAATGTGAATAATTACAGAGATTACGCAAACGTTCAAATAAAAAAAAAGCCAAGAAACATTTGAAAAATGCAAATTACAACCTGATTTTGTCGGTGATGTTTTGGTAATGAGCTGCATATTTTCTGTGGCGGGCTTCTTTGTATTGGTGTCGGCGGTGTGCTTGGTACATTCAGCCACACTCTGTGTTGGCATTTGGGGCTGCAGTGACTTCTGAGCCTCTGCTGCACATTGTTTCTGAAACAAGATAATTATTATTTTGACTTCAAGTGAATTAATCTGAAATATCAACTGGTATTTCCTTGCATAGAAAACAAAAAAGGGCAAGACACATTAACACAGTAATGCAATAACTATTCTGATGGTGCAACTGATGATACATGATTTCATAAAAGAAAATAATCCAGTGCTGGGGAAATGAAATTTCACATTCGTTGCTTAAGTAAAAGTATTCGCATACATCAGATAAGAAAAGTACAGAGGTTTTACAGCGCACCATATAATTTCAGGCCAAGATAAGAACAAAAATACATATCTTAAATTACCTTTAAGCAAAATGCATGATTATACGGTTACTTTATATCCATTTAAAGACATGTTTTTAGGTAAAAAGTAAAAACGCGTAAATGTTAAATCTGATAAAGGTTTCCCAATGCCATTACGCCATCTTTCAGGGTCTCGCAATGAACAATTACCATGTCATCAGCAAATCTGATATGAAATATTCCCTCCATTTATATTTCTCTAATACAATTTGTTGAGAAAACATCACTGCGAATAACTTTGGTGAAAGCAGAGTTTTCATTGTCTGACTTCCCTTCTCATATGTATTTGTCACTTTCTTATTGCAATCTCAGGAGAGATGGGGAGTTGACAGTACGCACAGAGGAGTGGGATTCCTCGTCTCTCCAGAAATGAAATATAGAGTTCTGTGTTTCAAGAGCACATCAGATATAGTCGCCCAGCCAACATTAAAGCTGTTAGACCACTCTGAGTTAAAGATATGCCAAATGTTTCTCATCCTCAACATCAAAAGAATATTGCTCAAATATGAAAAAGGAGCACGTATTTGTTATATTAAGAGTGCATCACCGAGTTATTCATCAGGTCAATACATACTCAGTATCAAAAGTAGTCTTTTCAATAAAAAAAACACAATTATGCTTTTGAGAATGAGTACACAGCCATTCCATTATTTAGACAAGTGCCTAGGGTAAAGGAAAATGATAAAGGAGGCTTGACAATTTAGCTTTTTAAACATTCTGCTGAACAACAAAACAACCACAAGGCTGCCAGAGATGAAATTACACAATATTTCAGCGGGTTTTTTTTCCCTGCGGGGGAACTAGCTATCGACTTTGGCCCGTTGTTGTTGTCCTTTTCATGAGAACAAAAACAGAAACAAAATCTGGTGAAGGATCCCAATGAAAGCTTTCACCAGAGCTTTCTGCATGAGCAATTAATACATAATAAAAGGTTACAGTATGATAAGCACAAGCTGTAATTTTAGATTATTTAAGATTAAGCCAGTTTTGTTTTATATCTATACAGTATATAATTAGTACAAGTGGAGCAGACAACTGACATATGGGGCCTGTCGCAAGGGTGATTTCACAGTTACAAGGGAATAATTGGAAAATGGGGAAAGTCTTATAAACTAAACTATTTTAATTTAAAGCTTCCGTGACTGCAGGGATTCATATTATTGGTTCTTTCGGTAAAGTCACGTAGAAGGGAAACAACAAAAAAATATATCTATATATATAAAATCGCAAATCTGTCTGTCTGTCTGTGTGTGTGTCTGTGTGGCCGGACCATACGCAGTTTCATTGGACGGCGGTTGCCCCTGGCAACGGGTAGCGACGCATTCGCTGCGGGGTGGACGACATTTTTAATTCCCGTAAAAAATATGTGCACGCATTAACACGCGACTCTGAGGTAAATTCATCAAAGTTTCACGTCCTTTTCACTCCCCCCCCCCCCACCACAATGTGTGCAATTACTATTATAGGGTCGGTAGATAATAAAATTATAGCGATTAGACAGTATTATTGTAGCGTGGGGGGGGGGGGTACCGGACCCAGTACCCAGCCTCAGCCGGGTGGGCAATTTAGGCGAGGCCGGAGGCTCTGCAAGGTACTAGGCCTCGACACCCCACCACACTATAGGCCGTACATATTACTGCACAGCGGCCGAGGAGATCGTGGCTGGGGGGGGGCAGGGGTAGCAGCCCATCTGTGTATATATGTAAGGTTATTAATAAATATATTTTTCACCCGGGCAATGCCGGGTACTTATGCTAGTAAAACAATAAAATGCTCACGACCAAGTCGCTGTCCGTGGTGCTAACGTTAAAAAAACCGCCACTTTTTTCAAATTTTCTTGCTCTGGTTTTCACACCTGATGACGATTGCTTGTGTTGCAATCGAAACGTCGTGAGAATTTTATTGTTTTATATATATTATTATTTTATTGTTTTCCTTCTACGTGATTTTAGCGAAAGAACCAAGAATATAAACTATTTTAATTTTACCAAGTAAAGCCCACTGAGCTATATAGCTCTTTTTCAGAAGCGACCTGGCCACAAGTGATTGCCCAACTAAGTGGTGTATCATGTGGAAATGTATTGCAGCCAAATACTTTAAACGCACGTTAATTCTCAATGTTGAGTGATGAACCGGAGGACCTGGAGAAAAATTCACGCGACCGCGGAGGAGAGCATGCAAACTCTAAATATACAGCAGGCGTCAGGGTCGGGATCGAACCCAAGACCTCCTGCATACCAGGCGAGGTAGTTAACATCTCGCCACCGTGGCACCCCTTCACCCATCAGCGGGAAGATACAGACTGATGCTGATGACAATAACACAATGCTTTCTGTACCTGGGTTTGCAGTGTCCGACTGCGCAAAAAAGCACACGTCTCACGGGATGATATCCCTCGCTTATCCTGATAGTCGCTGGATGCCTGGGAATGGGAACACAATGCAATGCTAAAATACTCCCATAACAAGAAACACGTAAATTTCATGACCGTTGCATTACAAGCAAAGGTTTCAGATTATATTATTTACAAGGAAACATTGAGGCGCAGAATTGGCATGGTATTAAATAACGAAGCATATTTTATTGCAATTATACATTTCATGAGTATGTGATACAGTATAGCTCAGTACTTGATTGTTTTCATGTAGTGTACTGTTATACTGTAAATATTATTTGACACTCAGAAAACATGATGAGCATTTAAAATATTACAGTACTCTTATAAACTTACAAAGGAATGTCTGATGTAATAACATTTTCAGATCAACATGCAGTATACGAAACAATGCAGACACGCTCTCACGCAAAGTCAAGGATTGCCCGTATAGCCTTAACAGACTGTTGGGGCAATGTCCCGTCTCTCAGCCAAGCTAACAAGTTGACTCAAATGCTGTAATTGTGCACCTATTATGGCTCACACTGTACAGCAGAAGGACACAGTGATGCCTATATCACCTTTGACTCCTCATCGCTGGTGTTGACATCCACTACCAGGCAGGCACCCGTGTCTACTATGACAACATAGGACAGACCCACACACACGCTAACAGAACTGCCACTAATTGTAGGTGGCGAGCATGTGCATGCCACGAATGCAGTCAACACGTGCTAGCATCTAGACCATTTGATCACTAAGCACACACCGAGCACACATACACACGGGCGACAAAGGGCACACAGCTCTCTTGTTCAGCCTCATGGACCGGAGGGGCAAGTACGGATTGTGAGTAGCTACTAAGGGTGCACAGGCCCAGCACAATGCCCATGCCACATTCGTTTCTCCAGTTACTAAAATGTACACATTGCAACCGGTACACCGAGTACGTTATGAACCTTGAAATAAAGAGCGAAGAAAGCCACTGCTGAATCCAAAGTAAGAAGACGACAAATTGCCTTAAGTGATGCAATTAAAATTGTATAAATTAAGTAGCCCCTATGCTAAGGTGACTTGTGGCTGGGGGACCTATGGGGTCACGTTCAGGGCAGGTTCAGCACACAAAACATCATCCAATCACCCACCCTCCCTCCCACGCCACACAGAGGCACAATATGTCGAAAGGTGTAGAACTTGGCACCTTTAGGATATGGGCCAGCGAGGGCCTGTCCTGGGGTTGATTTTTGGCCATGCTCAACAACAGCTGCTTGAAGGGCCCGCTCAGCTTCAGCTTCTGACAGGCGGCCAAGTTGCACTTGGCCGCAGACCAAAGAGTAGCAGCCAAGCCATACACACAAGACTGCATACGAAAGAGATGTCAGGGCACTTTAGCTACAACGTGGTTCTTTATAGCATTTTAATATGTCCTGCTGTTATATTTCAAATATAAACTATACGTCAAACACAGTCGTCGTAGACCAAGTCCGCCGCAAAGCCTTTCAGATTTCAAGTTGTTTGGCGTAGATGCATTCTGTTGCGGTCCACTGCAACAAGCGCCAGTGGGTGTGCAGGAGTGTGTTTAAATGACAAGTTCTGTGAACATCTGCCATTTAATATCCAAAATAAGTAATTGGGTAAAAGACACGGTGAGTGAACCGTGTGTAAACATATGTTCTGCTCAGTTCACTCTCAGCATTTGCCATAAAGTTAAAGGAGGGAATTAGCTTACCTCTTTGTCAGTGCTCGTTCACCCCGAGAATGACGTCACGAAAGCCCACAGGGATATCCAAGCAACGAGCTTAAACAAATCGAAGCCAAGTAAGGGGGTGTTTTTATTACCTTTTCGGAAAGCAGCCCGTTGTCCTGTAACTCGGGAGCGAGATAGAAGGCTTGCACATTTCCTGCGTTGAATACAAAGTGATCAATGACTCCATCACACTGTGTGCAGTAAAACAAAAACAAAGAGGGCGTTGAGAGCAGCGGTTCCCAGACCGTGGGGGTACGCGGGACATCAGAATCATAATATTTATACTGGAGGAATCCGATGAACTATAAAGCTCCTTTTCACAGATGTCCAGTAGGGGCGGGTAAGAATGTTACAACAACAAACAGTACACAGACACAAAGTGCAAGAAAGGTAAACAAATCGCCCAAACACGAACAAATAAAACTGAACCATCCGCATCCTACCAGGCAAAGCCCACTGAGGTATTAACTTATTTTTCAGAAGCGACAGGGCTCAAGAAAGTGGCTCGTTATTCGGACATTTATAGCACCAAAATAATCTAAATCTCAATGCATCTCAAGGGGGTATTGCGAGAAATATTAAGGAATGACGGTGATCATGGGACCGAGGAGTGTTGCTCAGCGCATGTGCATGAGCATTCCTAAAGCTATAAACTAAATAATTTTTACGTTACTAGGTAAGGCCTACTAATCTATATTTTTGAAGCGACCTGGCCACAAATACTGGAAACACGTTTCTAAATTTGGAGGGAAAAACCAGAATACCCGGAGAAAAATGCACGCAACTACGGGGAGAACATGCAAACTCCAAATATACAGGTGTCAGGGTCGGGATCGGAATCGAACCCACGCCCTCCTGCATACCAGACGAGGCAGTTAACATCTCGCCACCGCAACGCCCTTACATGAAGTCGGTTACATGGAATTTGGCGAACCCGTGCACTCAGGCGTCTCCGTTTTAGATGTGTTCTGCGAGTGCTCTCTCTCTCTCTCTTTCTCTCATGTTTCATCATATTCATGTTTACATGTATTTTACACATACACTAAAAATATTTAAGTCTGTCAGAACACCTTTTCAGCCTTCTCCCCTCTGCTTCGTAGTGACTCAGCTTAAACGGTTCAGTAGCATTTTTGTTGTTTTATGAAAGTGCGAATTATTAATTATACATTTCTAGTTATTTGCTATTATGTTATTACGTGTCAAACAAATGTCATGCTGGTGGGGGGGGGGGGGGTACATGAAGAGTGGGTGTAGGAGGAGAGTTGATAGGACCAATTTGGGGGTACACGGAGAGCTTATTAGGCTAGTGGGGGGTACGCGGAGAGTTGATATGACCAGTGGGGGGTATGGGGAGAGGTAATTGGGTTAGGAGAGGGGTAAGCGGAGAGTTGAGAGATCTGGTGGGGGGTGAAAGGTTACGAACAATTGGTTTCGATCATGGGGGGAGAGTCGAGGATAATTTACACGGAACCCACCTGGTGGAGGGCAAAAGGTGGCAGTCCCCTGCGTTTGTATGAGCAGTGTGTCCACGGATACGTAGACTGTTTAAAAAGTGTTCGGGAGAGGAAGAAAAGCACATTCGTATAGTGAAGTTATTATTCAATCACTGCCATTATTTCTCAACATGTGTGCCAATAATTGAACCAATAAATGCTATGGACGGGGATTAACATGTTTACCGATTGCCCATTTCCGCCTGCTAACGCACACTATTTATGTTTTGTCACTAACTCCACCGGGCAGAACATGGTCAATATGCCTACATGTGCATTGTGCCTCGTACTTGAAGCTTTAGAGATAATGTCTGCTCTATATTGGGTTTCGGCTTAAAATAACAAGCACGTTTGTCACTTGGACAAATTGATTTTACAACAGGGTAAAATACATTATTTGAGGTGTTAATGTCCACTTGTTAACAATCAAAAAGGTGGTTCCACAAACGCATGTTACTCTCCATTTGATATTAATAACACTTTACCAAAGTATTGACATCTCCATTGAATTTCAAGAGTGTTTTCAAGATTGGTCCTGCCCAGTAAACATGCGATATTTGGTGAACGTTGGTCCAACGTCAACTGCCGTTGGGCCAAACATTGCATGTTTACTAGGTGCTCGGGATGTTGGGTTATTGTTTTTAGTAAGATCTTAGAAGCTAAGTATCGTTGAGCCAGATCGTGCTTGTATGGATGACACACAATGTGCAAGACCCAGGTGCTATAGGCGTTGTGGGCAGTAGAGAGCAGTGCAGCAAAATCCATCGTTCCGCACTCCTCTCTGACCTTCACCAACTCCCACTGCCTAGCGCGGTGGAAGTCTGGTCCTATAATTCCTCACGCCCCGCAATGTAAGGGGGAGGCCCTCATCCAGCAGTGAACTCGCAATCGGGCTGCACGTGTGTCAAGGCCGTAGCCATGGAGTCAATATTGGGGGGGACCAAATCTTCCAGGGGATCTGGGGGTCCTCCCCCAGAAAAAAAATCTAAAATTGAAACGAATTAAAAAAGAAATGCACTAACACATAGGATGGACTCTTTTTTTTTTTTACAATAATGTCTAATAGTGTCTTGTATTACATTGCTCTGTTTTTTCTTTTTTACCTTTTCTTGTTTCATTTTATGTAATGGCAGAGATTAGGGATTGATAAGGTACAACCATAACCACAATCATATAAACAGAAATCTATTTTATAGCAATATATTGGGGGGGGGGGGGACATTTTTAGCACATTTTAATATTTATTATAATTACGGCCCTGACGTGTATCACTTATGAGCGCTGCACCATCAAACAACTCCTGATGCCATCGAATGAATTACCGAACTCAACACACACACATACACGCGTGTTCATATTTGGTCAGTGGCTTTTCAAATACCATCCGAAAGAGAGACTGCCACAATGAAGGAAAACTAGACGACGTGAAAGTCCATCAGATCCCGGCTTAGGTTGTTAAGCAGGGCTGCCTCACCTGGTAACTGCTTGCTTCCCTGCAGGGTCAAGGCCGCCTCCCGGCAAACACACCACAGCAGCTGTTCCCCGAGCGGCTTGCCCCATGCGGCCAGCACAGCTCCCAGAGACACCTCCTTGCCACCGCGGGCAACGAATTCCATGCACGGAGATGGACAAAGAAATATCAGCGACGACGACGACACATTTCATTACACGGACACTGGCCCGATGAGGGTGTTACGACTACTCGCAGTGCAGTGGCGTGTGTGTGGTGTGTGAACACAGCACTGCATTGTGCAGCATGTGCAGGCGAAGAGACACAATCAAGATAGCATCGTCCTGCTCTGCGCAAAGTGAAAACTGGTCATGCATCAACAGGCCCAGATGTAATTGTACTCCCGTTTGCTTAATGCGCTAAAAAAAAGCCAGACTCTTCACGCCCACAATACACCCACGCGCAAACTTGCGCGCACACACACCATCTCACTAGAACTTGTTCTGCCATTCGCATACATGAAGGCCAAATACCATCACAAGAGTGTCAACATTGCGCTGTGCTGCTGCTGATGATTGCTCTACCATGGGGTAAATGAGTAACGTCGTGGCTAGTGCATTGGGGATATAAACCTGGCTAGCTGGGTTTGATTTCCAGCCGTGGTGAACATCGGTGGCAAGTGGAGTCACCAAACCACAACAACGAATGTGAGGGAGGATGATCCCATGACGGGCATGGTGTGGATTAACAGAGGACTGTAAATTACTGTTACGTAATGCGTTCTTTGGTGATACTGTTGCATTGGAAGTGGTGCACAAGCACAAACAAAACCCCCCACATTCTTGGTTCTTTCGGTAAAGTCACGTAGAAGGGAAATAATAAAATAATAAAAATAAAACAATAAATTTGGATTTAAAGCTTTCGTGACTGCATGGATTCATATTCTTGGTTCTTTCGGTAAAGTCACGTAGAAGGGAAATAATAAAATATCATCACCTGATGATGATTGCTTGTGTTGCAGTCGAAACGTCGTGAGAATTTTTATTGTTTTATATTTATTATTATTTTATTATTTCCCTTCTACGTGACTTTACCAAAAGAACCAAGAATATGAAAACATAATAAGATAAAATTCTCACAACGCTGCCAAGCTTAGCAGTGTTCATTAGGACGCTGTCTTTCCGACAGTCTTGTTCTTCACCTGAGGACGGCTACTTGCGTTGTGGCCGAAACGTCGTGAGAATTTTATCTGATTATGTTTTATTTTGATTATTTTATTATTTCCCTTCTACGTGACTTTCCCGAAAGAACCAAGAATATGAATCCATGCAGTCACGAAAGCTTTAAATCGAAATAAAAACCCTCACAGTAGAGGGCAGTATAGTCATGTATCCACTGAAGCCCATTTAACAATGGTGCTTATTAATAATTTTAAACAGTTGCAACCTTTGTCATTGCGAAATGAAACACAATGTTTTAAATTAAATGCATTTACACATTTCACAACCTCAATCTTCATTCTTTTCTCACTGAGTTTGCCACGCAACTATGTATTTGCCTCTCCATACGTAGTTGCTCTTTTGCCTTTTCTCTGATCACCACTGTTCTGAAATCCCTCATGTACAGGAATTCAATCTGTCAACCAGTTCATCAGTGGCGGTGCTCGGCTCTAAATTGAGCTGGCAACAGTCTGCCTTAGCTGACATGCACAAGGTGGATTCATAAAAAAAAACTGGAATGCACTGGCAGTGGATTAATAATCAGCACTTTCTGACATAGAGAACCCATCATTGACTCAGGAAAAAAAAGACCCTATAGACTCACAGATAACCAAAAGATTCACACAGAGACATGTAGATTCACAGAGACCCATAGACTTATTTACGTAGAGGACGCATTGACCCACATAGAGACCCACTGATAAACGCTTTCTCCATTAGACAGGATTGCTAGAAGAACCAGTCTGGTGGAGCCCGCCACCGCCACCACCAATCACCACGCTGCCTTTCAATGGTCAATTAGTCCAGCTGGACGTGTCACCTGAGACTTGTAGCCCCGACTGCTACTCATGTAACTCGCCTTCATCGTGCCACGTAAAATTGTGTCCCTTACCACTTTGTCGCATCTCTCGTAACCCTCTCCTGCTAATCTCTGAACACATTACCCATGTTTTTTTTCTCACTTAATTACAATTTGCAATTTACAAATTCCAGTGCAAATAGCGTTATTGTCCCCGCATTTTCTTTACTCTCAGTGATTTAGGTTAACGAATAGACCGCAAACTTTAGTCAGAAACTTTCAATAAGGAAGCTTTCTCACTATTTTTTTACTCGAAGCCTATTCACCATTAGCAGCACGATGTGGTCAACGCCTAAAGAATGGCTCTTAAATCCCAGCACATGGCCTGTCAAGAAAGAACAAACCAATTTCAATGAGTTGCTTCAAAGGGGCTGACGAAATAAAATAGCTGCCTTACCCCATGTACCAGTGCACATCCAAAACACTACGGCTCACCAAGCTACCGTCATGATTTTAATGGTTTCTTTGGGAATACGCAGTGTGTGGGAGTCTGAGGAGTGTGCATGCTGTCATTGGTGGGGGGTCTTTGTTTATTACCATGAAAGCGAAGCTCCATTACACAATAGCAACTCCCACGTGGAAATGGGAAAGAGCCATGCAGATCTGCGTTATCTCCCGCTGCTATGTAAGCACCTTGGTATTAATCGCACAATGCCAGGCTCGCCACCACAAATTTAGTGAGGGGTATCGTATTGTGGAATGCTTTAGAGGCGTGGGCTCACGCAAGGACTGTCAAACTCTGAGTGCATGGAAATGAACGGGCCAGTGGAGCACAACAGGGTTTCAATAATTCATTCCGAGGATGGATTTGAACTTGAGGCCCCAGAGATTCCAGGCTCCGAGCCCTGATAATGGAGCTTTATCCCACTGAGCTACCAAAGCCACTTGAAGATAAGGGGGGTTGTAGACCCAATTAAAAAAGTTATTGACTGAAGTATGATGCAAACACACACATACAACCGACACGCCAACACAAACAAACAAGAAAGACATAAATGGATGGATGGCAAATAAGGTGGAGAGCTCTTGATTTGATTGCATGTGAATGGCCATATGTACCTCGATGCTCTCTCTGCGTCTTTGCAATTGTGAATTGCTGACAGCGTCGGCGTTTCTCGTCGAGGAGCCACTGCCAATGCGGTCATCTCCTTTCCCAGCTCGCAGCGTGGGATCGTTGTCCTCCAGCCGCCGCTTGTCCACCAGCGTTGGCCAGTACGTCAGCTGCCCGCCCACCCGGAGGTTGCGCTGTCTCACAGGGCTGCTCCTTGTCAGCCGGTCGGCCCTCTCGCCGTCGTACGGCGAATCCAACGACCGGCAGCGTTTCACAATCCTGGTGGCCGCCATGCCGGACGTGCGCGTCGCCCCCTGGCCATCGGCGGCCGATCCCGATGCTTTGTCCGAGTCGGCGACGGACCGAAAGCTCTCGCTCACCTGCTCGTCGAGCGAGTGTACTTTGAACAAGTGCCTCGCGGCGGGTTTCATCGTCAATTCATCCGGCGCGGCGGCGCGGCTTGATTTTGTGCCTCGGGCGCAAAAGTCGACGGCAAAGTTCTCCTTGCCGTCAAGTGCGGACGCATGAACGAGACTCTGCTGCTGCTGCTGCTGCTGCATTTTCGGGAATGCTTCGATGGGGATTTTGGGCAGAAGCCGCCGTTTGACCGGAGAACAAACTGTGGCTCCAGCAGCCTCCACGTGTGGCTGTGCCCCTTCAGACAATGGAACGAGATCAAACAACCCCAACAACTCTTTACAGTGACGTTTGCTGCACTCTGGCTTGCCGTCCTCTTTGTTCTTCTGAGGACCTGTCTCATCCTGCGGTTTAGCGCTGGGATCCTGCAGATTCCCCCTGTCATCCTTGTCTGCCTTCGCTTTGGCAGGTACTGCATTGTGAACCATTCTATCAAAACTGAGGTCTTCTGTGCTGGACGATCCGTCGGCTGGGTTCCTTTCATTGAATGTCAAACGCCAGGAGTCTCCACCACTATCTGTTGTAAAAAGACAAGCAAGGGTTAATTCAAATTCACGTATTCATTCAATCAGTTCAAAATTATGGATTTTATTTTAAATAGTCACGAACAATGTCAAAACAACATCAGCCGTGCTCAATGTATCGACCTTTGTCAAACTTCCTGAAGACCTGCAGCAACGCAGCTAATAAGAAAAGTTATATTCTACATTATTGATTTGCGCTGCGATTGCTGGACAAAACTAGCAAGGAAATGACAACTAAGGAAAATAAATAAGGGATTACATAAATAAGCAAACACAATCTCATTACCCTCAACATTAACACTGCCTTATAACAAGAAACATAAAGACGGTCAAACAATATATAGTTCTTCGGAGGCCACAGCCCAAAACCTTAATACAATATATGGATTTTTCTTAAATGGCAGTTTTAATGTCAAAGGTGGCGATATTTTTGTTTACAGGCGCACAAAGGGAATTCGAAAAATTTAATAAGGGTGCATAAGGACGTGGGAATGAATCATATTACATCTGCAGATGCTAGACACACAGACATTGTCCCAGAGAGGAGGCCTTCACGCAACAGAGGACTGAGATTATTCGATGAGTCGGGCAAGTGCACAAGTGCTATTTGCGATAACTTTATTCCAACTCATCAATAATGTGGGTGGGTAGCAGGCAGTATGTGACAAGCCCCAAGGATCCTGTTGCGCTGGGCATGGCTAATAGCAGCCGCAGCATGAGCAATGAACGTTGCTCCATACCCCGTGCTCTAACCAGGTGCACAGAGATTGTGAACTTGCACATCTCAGCACGAAATCCAACAAAAATATGAATTCGCCGCGGACTTTTCACCATGCACAGTTCGTCTTGTCAAACACAATGAGGCTTTACTGAGCTAGCAACCACTGCGCTTGCAATGCACGAGCACAGAGGCGTGGTGTATGCTTTGAGTCAGCTGCTGTTAGAGAAATAATTGCATAATGCAATGTTATATCGTCTGTTAAGGCACTGGCACTGACAATCCAATGTACTGCTTTCAGAGTAATGCCGTGCTGTGCCAGACCGTTGCGAAAAACATAGAACCCATGACTGCTGTCACAAGTAAGATCAACTGCTCCGCAGTTGCGTGCGTATGATGTTACACTCTCAAATAAAGATAACGTTGATAAATTGATAACATTTTCTTGGAGAGACGTATGTGTGTTTCTACTAGAGTCGGAAAAATAACTTCCTGCCTACGCATTGTAGATGGCTCTTACTCATAATACCAGATCACCCAGTCGTGCTGTTTTAGCAGGCCATGCCTATTGGGGGACTACGTGTTAGCTTGGCGTGGTCTGGGACTGTTTTGTTGTTGTTTTTGCATAATCTTGATAGATCGGACTTTTTAAATAAATGTATAGATTATGCATTAATTTATTAATTTTAGTCACATGCTTACCATTTTTCTCTTGTTGCACTCCTATCGTGTTGTTGTATTGTTTGCTGTTGTAACTTGCTGACCCACCCATCCTGGATATCTGTGAAAAAGAGCTTCAGAGCTCATCGGATTTCTCCTCCAGTCTAAATTTTAAAAAATCTGATTCGGATGAGACTTACAGATGTCTATATCAGTCCAACTTATTGAGACAAAATTGGTCTTGAGGAATATGAATGGGAATAGGCTTTGGAATTAATCGAGCCGGTTACCCATGTTTTTATTTATTAAATATTAATGACGTTAAATTCAGTTGTAGAAAAATTATACTGGGGATCTATCAAGCGAAAAGAGGAAGTGCTTGTAAAAATACACCTCGTCAGGAATCATTATGTGACAGAAGTGATCAAATAATCTCGTGTGCGGGTGCCAGGTGAATTGTGAGAGATTGTTGTGACTTGGGGAGACCTTCATCCAGCAGTCAATTGACCGTGGCCGATGATGCTGATGCCGATTGAATAGGTCGGCCAATTAACTCTCATGTCACGTATTCGCGACTGTATACAGTGAGGGAAAAAAGTATTTGATTCCCTGCTGATTTTGTACGTTTGCCCACTGACAAAGAAATGATCAGTCTATAATTTTAATGGTAGGTTTATTTGAACAGTGAGGCTGTGTGCTTTTTCTAAGAACCATCCACAACTAGGCTGATACATTCCCTCCCCCCCACCCCACGTGTGTTGAACCTTGCATTGAGTGGCGTCAGCATTAAGTGTAACATGGCACACGGCATGGCCTTCACTGCAGAAGAGGCGGTCAGTGCTGAGTCACCGGAGGCCGTGTTGATGGACTCGATGGACAGGACCCGGCGTCCCGTGGCTGAGAGGCGGCGGCAAACGCTGGCGGACGACTCGCCCTGCAGCCGTGACTGGCAAAGCCTCAGCACCATCTGCAGGGCCACATCAACAGAGAAGGGGTGGTGATGGTGATGGCGATCAGTGTGCACCCCATTCATCTCTGCATTATGTGCACCATTAGATTTTCTTTGTAGCTGGCCAGCCAAAGCCTGAGGATTAATGAAATGTGTGCCTAAGCAGAAATAACACTGTTATGTTTGCCTTCAGAGTACATTTGACTCAACTGGCCATACATTTGTAGAACTGGCTGTGACGTCGTCTCCCGTGTGTAAAGGCAGCTGGCAGGTAGGCATGTAAGGATTTATACCCATACATTCAGGCAATTTGTGTTCGCGAATTAATCCAGAATTTCATAATTTTTTGTATATTTTTCCATCTAATTAATACAGTTTCTCATTTTGTGTCTCATTGGCAGGATGTTTAGTTTCTTTAGCCTACCATGTAACGTGGGTATATTTTTGTGCATGCATTAAATGAATCAATTCCCAAATGCATAATTCAATGTGTATATTAAGAGCATAGTAATCAATGTTATCAATAAATCGACACATGACGAACGGATAGATAATCCAACCTACAGTCAGAAGATTGTGATTTAAAATTCTGTTCAGGAGTAAGCTGACCATCACCCCATCTGGTTCGATAAAATTAATAATGCTATGTGGTGTTGAAAAAACTTACTATACATACACTATAACCACCATATGAATGTGGATTATTCATCACTGGCCTAAAGTTGCCAGTGGATATGGCCACCATCCCATTTTTCTCTTTTGAGCATGGAGATACTTGAACCTTATTTGCATATTGGCACAATGAAAAGGTTATTATAATTTAAATATCAGAGCTCCACCATGCCCATGACACCCAGAATAACGATAAGCCTATCTGTGGTCACTGTTAAAGCTATTCCACTGGCACGTCCAAGCCAGCACGGGGTCCTCACGGTACAGGTTGTTTCCAACTGGAATTTTGCCAAATAAAGCCACAACAAAACTTGGGATCACATGCCTCACAAGACATCTGAATGTGGCTCAGGGACGGGCAAGGCCAAGGGCAGGGCTATTAGCACGTCCATTGCATGTGACGTCAGTCATTACATTGTGAGGACAGGGGCAGCCACGGCGCCCAAATGTTAACTGCCTTGTTTGGTATAGAGGCGAGATCGCATGGATTTTTTTCTCCGGGTCCTCCGGTTTTTCTCGCCACATTTAGAAACGTGCGCTTAGAGTATTTGGCTGCGACAAAGGTCCACGTGATAAGCCACTTCATTGAGCTATCATTTGTGGCGAGGTTGCTTCTTAAAAGGACCTATATAGCTGAGTGGGCCTTACCTGGTGAAATAAAAAATAGTTTCAAATAGTTGTACCTTCCTTGCGACCCCACTTGTTCATTACATGTGACGTCAGCGGCACGGCAACGCTCTGCTACTGCAGTGGGAAAAAAAAAGTCTGGCATGGCTGTGCAGTGGAAACGAGGAACGTGTGCAGTTAGATACCTCGATATCTGGCCTGGAGTCTGGGTCGTCGAGTTGCATCTTCTCCAGCAGGGCTCTCAGCTCAGCGCTCATCTCCATGCTGAGCTCCGGCTCCACCACATACTCAACGGCGGCAAGCAGGGTCATTCCCAGCGAGTAGATGTGAGCCTGTTAAGGACGCGTGCATTTAAATCGCCTTACGACCAAATCAACCTCAATGCACACGATGTCATCATATTGCCAAAGGTAACCAGGTTAGTACCTTGGAATATCCGATCATGCATTGGTGCTCGTTCGTTAAATAAAATTGGCCAAACATTTCAATGCAAGACATTGCAGTCTCAGTGAGGTTTTCTTGGATGATTAAAGGGTATTATTATTATTCTCTGGTTCTTTCGGTAAAGTCACGTAGATAGAAAAAATCATGAAAGAAAACACGACGTTTCGGTCACAACGCAAGCGTCCGTCTTCAGGTGAGAAAATGATCTGCTGTTGTGGCTTTATATAGGCACGGAAGGGGGGGGGGGAGTTCTCTCGAGTCGTGGCTGTACGAGTTCACGGGGGAGAGGGGGGTTTGTGGCGTGCAGGGAAGGAAGGGGGCTGTTACAGGGGGGAGAGGGGGAGGGCTTGTGGCGTCCAGGGACGGGTGGGGCTGGAGAAATTAGCAATTATAAGAGATGGAGATCGAATTAGTAATCGGACGACGACAACCGGATGGGTAAGTGAAAATCATAGCAGTTAAAACTTGGCGCGGTTTATCACATCCTTCCAATGATTGCTCAATCTGAATCCATCTTCTCGATTAAACTCGTGAACTCTTACAGCCACGACTCGAAAGAGTCATTTTCTCACGCTTGTGTTGCGGCCAAAACGTCGTGTTTTCTTTCATTATTTTTTCTACCCACGTGACTTTACCGAAAGAACCAGAGAGTATGGAGTCCTGCAGTCACGGAAGCTTCAAATCAAGACGGTATTATTATTTTCATTGTAATTGTAAATTCTGGAGGAGTTTACACTGCTCATTCTAAGCCAAATGGGAACACATTAAGTGTCCTCTATCAGTCACAACATTTACTAATTTAATCAGTCAGTTAGATCTTCCGCAGTGCATATTGACCAAAGGTTGTGAGTTCAAATCGCAGTCAAGGGCTCTACGCCGCTCAACATCCCTCTCTTGGGTCCACACAATGAACACCACAGTCAGCAGTGGCCATTATAAAGGAAGACTACCATCTGCCACAGTAATGTGGAAATTATACTGCTGGATAAGAACCAGTTAATCAACCAAAGGTGCTCATTGCAACGCCAAGCTATCATGCAAAGTGGTATTGTCAAGGCAACCGTCTTTTACAATATGTGATGACGGCTCATGATATATACAGAGAGAGAGAGGGCACTTAAAACATATCTGGTAAACCAGCAGTATTTGTTTGGGAAGCTTGACTCTGCTCGTGAGCCCAGGAAAGCATTGGAGTGTGTGTTTAAGCAAATGCTGCTCGTTCACATGAGTATGTAAGGCCAATACACTTCTTTGTATGTGGAGGTACATAACAGAAAGTCATTTATTTCATTAATCTACAACAGTGATTGCCAGAAACAAGACAGTGCTTAAATAATGAGAATGTAAATAGAAATAAAACTGAAATACATTTAATTAAATAATAAAGGAACTTGTCAGTATAGAATTGTTGCAACCTTAGTCACTGACCTCTAAAGGTTTTTCTCATTAAAAAGGAAATGGCCAGGATACTTCTGAAAAACATGATTTACTGAATATTACTGTAATTAAATTAAATGTGCTAAATATCACCACTTGTAATAAAATGTCCTCAAACTGCACAACCACATTCATATTCTTAGGTCTTTTCTTAGGTTTTTCCGGTAAAGTCACGTAGGTAAAAAATTAAAATTAATAAAAGTAAAATAAAAATAAAATAAAAATCACGACGTTTCGGAGGCAACACAAGCTTCCGTCTTCAGGTGGAACCGTCACAGCACGATAGCTGTATCAAGTGAGAGAAATTCCAAGAACACAGTATTTGTGTATATACTGGTTGAGGGTGGGAGGAGCCAAGGTAGGCCCTGAATATTATTTTTGTGAGGTTCGGTGCGGCTGAAACACGCTGTTAGGAATGGGCCTTTGTTGTGTAAACTAGGTGCGGATGATGTAAAGGTGCGTGTAAAAGGGACTGAGCCTTTTTGTTACGTAGAGATGATGCGGCTGAAATCGCTACCAGGAAATGAGTCTTTGTTGTGTAGAATGGTTGACTGAGCCTATTATTATGTAGAGGTGGTGCGGCTTAAATCGCTGTCAGGAAATTAGTCTTTGTTGTGTAGAATGGTTGACTGAGCCTATTATTATTACAGTCTGACCACAATGCAATTCACGTGGCTTGTACAAACACACCCTTCTCAGTTCCAGCTTTTTAAAATCCCAAGCATCTAAACCAAAATCAACAACCAAATCACTGCACAATTTAGGGACTGTAATTTTGGTGATTGCCTCTTGAGATTGCGGGAGTGAGAATGTGGAGTGAGTTGAGGAATTATTTCTCAGAGTAAATTAGGGAATGTGAATAATCATAAAAAAAGTTGTAATAGTGAGATTGTGGCCACCTATGCTGGTGTCGGATAAATGTCTACGAACCCAGAGGCATTTGTCTTTCTTTCACACTGCAGGGCAACCACAGCTCTGGTTTAATTCCCACAATAGTGACTTGCAAAGACTCCTCGGATATCATGTGAATTTTCCAAAACACATTTTACCACAGGACATGTAGTTCTTTGACCGTTATACATCAGTTGGAAAGGTAATATTTACAATAAACGTACTCTAATAAAAAAAATGTACCGTAACATTTACCCAAGAAATCCTCAATTAAGCATAACGACTCCTTGAGGAGGCGCTACAACCAATCGCTTGCTGCAGTCTATTCGATTGTGGGCAGAAATCAGTGGTATCCAACGGAAACCCACGAACATGCAATCTCCACACACATTGGTCAGAATCCTATTTGCTGTACTAGGCACATTAACTAGTCTCTGTGCGATCTGCTAAATTAGAGGCGCGTGTGTGCGCACACACCCTCCAAGGGTTGTGTTTTAATCTGTGCGCTATGCAGTATTCATCGGTAACACACATATCAAGTGTACATTGCAAAACACAGATTAAGTAGACTGCCCTCGTGATTCATCCAGGTTTCCGACCTGCTAGTCACATACAATAAAGTAATGTTTCAAACGATAAAACATTCACTGGGAATTATTCTTTGGTTCTGGGAATTGTTCTCACACGCTTGTCAGTTGCATAGATCGGGCACTTGTATTGGTGTGTTCTATTATAAACTTAAAATGTGCTCAGAATTAAATCGTAAGCACGAGTATAACTTACTGTGGCGGGTACGAAAGGTTATACAAATATTGCGACTAAAAAGCCGTCGTTTAAACACGACGTCTTATTCTATGGCGGCGGTTTAAATAGAACGACGACGCAGAAGAAGAAAACCCCACAAGCAATAAAGCAGCATTGGGAAATCCATTAAGCAAACAACTCAACGTGTCCCAACCTGCCAGTGGACATTTACAACTTCACTATTCATTCCCCACGACTCGGCGCTAATGAAGCGGGCGTGTTTCTTGATTGCTGTCCCACAGATGTAGGGCAACGCTCAAAGCCCTGACCTGTAGTGAGAGGTCCCCACGGTAGCGCACACACAAACACACATAACACGAAGGTCATCTAACGTCTGTAAATTGGCATTTATTGCTGCATGTTAAATGTATTGCATCACGTGTGCATAACAAAACGTGCAAAAGTTTACAAACAAAGAGTGTGATCTGTCAAGGGTTTTTATTCGCTTTTATTTGTTAATGGTGTGTTAAGTGTTGTTTTTTAAATATTTATAAAGGGGCTGAGGCCTTGTTATTTGTAGAACAACTCTTGACCCTAATTTTTGGGTAGACTGAGGTTCCCACCCGCTTCGTGTTGTTTCTATTTTTACACGTTCTAGGCATACGTGAAACAGTCAGTTCACTTTTATTCATGATTCCCTGCCCCTTTCTCTTTCTCCGTCAACGAATTCAAATACTTATTTCCCTCATTAAAATGCAAATCAATTTATAACATTTTTGACATGCGTTTTTCTGGATTTTTTTGTTGTTATTCTGTCTCTCACTGTTCAAATAAATCTACCATTAAAATTATAGACTGATCATTTCTTTGTCAGTGAGCAAACGTACAAAATCAGCAGGGGATCAAATACTTTTTTCCCTCACTGTATATAACACTGTATATCATTCTTTTTTTTCTTGAGGAGAATAATCGTGCCAGAAGCTAGGAAATGCTATTAAATTGTGTGAAGCGATGTGTTTTACACTCTTGCTCAAAAAACGTCGCCTTATTTTGTGCCTAGGCTTAGAGAGTGAAATAATTTGCATACATCATCATCGTGCAGTCTGTCCCCAAGGACGATAACCTCTCTTGCATCGGGAGTCAGTAATCTTTTGTAATCTCAGGGTGGCTGTAGTGTTTTGATTCCTGTGAGTCTGCTTGTGACTAGCAAGACCAGCGGCGTTTTAACGACACACCTTGCCACATAGATCACATGCACAGTGGTCTGAGGGTAACTCCTGAGATTCAGATGCACTGGTCGACACAGTAACCACTTCTAACCCGCGTCTGCCGGCTTGTTGTTTCTCCGTGTCTTCCAGACGCTGTCTCTCAAGCAACTGAGCAGCTTCAGCCAAGGCTGTGCATCAAGACGGTCTGTTTTTGGAGAGATTTTCCGAGGAATCTACAGAAATTCTACATCTTAAATTTGAGTGAAGTACATCCTCAAAGCGCAATCACTGACCTCCTCTGCTTCTAGAGCCCCTCGTACAATTGAGCGTAGAGCAATGGTTTTGGGAGTCTGTTTTCTCCCATTCTGAGTATGTGTCCAGCCCAGAGAAGTTGGGCAATGGTGACCATAGTTGCCACAGCAGTCATTCCAGCTCTAGCAAGTGTAATAAAGAGGACTCGGACGCTTCTCTCTGACTTCGTGTCCTTTATTGGGTTCTTGTCTTTTCCCACACGGCACTCTCTCATAGACACTCTATTTGTAGCCCCCGGCTGCTATCGCTATTGTAGCCTCCTTCCTCTCCCTGCAGACTCTCTGCTATCTCTATTG